TGAATATGTATACAGTATTTCATTCTAACTTTAAAAATGGATGACAGCAAAATATCAATTTTTCATGCTGATTCTGCATATTTTTATCAGCTCATCTTGGTTAATGCTACTGCTGTACATAACATTCCTCCCCGTGGAACATCATGTTGTACATCATGTTTTTTAGCATATGGATTAATACAAGTTTTCAGCTGAGGAAGTCAAGCTGATTTTAAAAGTAAGGTTGAACAGTGTAGTTCAGGATAATTGAATAGTGATGAAAATCTACAGACATATTTATTCACTGTTGACCATGTTGTGCATGTTTAGATGGAGAAAAAGGATGAGACCAGAAAACAAAGTGGAGACTGTGAAATGCCAGCTGTGACTACATTTAAAACAAAAGTGTTTGCTTTCATGGAGTTAATGAGTGTCAACTCTGTCAAAAAGGAGAATGCAAACACAGGAAAGGATCCTCCTCTGTATTCACCAGTCACAGAGCCACAGAATATTCTGAGTTGGAAGGGATCCACAACGATCAAGTCCAACTCCTAAGTGAATGGCCTGTACAGGCATCAGCTCGTGACCTTGGCGTCATTAGCACCATGCTCTAACCAACTGAGCTAACATTTAGGACCATCACTGACACTTAGGACCATCAGTCTGCAGAGCTCATTCCATCTACTTGAACCTTACTAATGAACTCAGCTTCCCATCATCCTCTAACATTTCACAGGTAGGAAACTGGACACTAACCATCAGAGGAAATGCATCTGTCAGTCACAGAATATTCTATAGCTGAAGTGGGTGTTACATCCCCAACTTGTTATAATTCTCCTATAATAAACTTTCTTCTAAGATTCACAGGTTGTTTGAAGCTCTTATTGCAAGCTCTGGTTTGCAAGTTAACTTGCAATTTATTTTTTTTCCTTCTGGTTGCCAGTTCTGTGGAAACTATCAATGGCTTTTATGTGAATGTGTCTTCACATTAAGCATTACTTATAGATGATTTGATCATTTCTAGTCTGCCATACAACTATTAGATAAAATTAAACATGTAATTAAAATTAGCTTACTTCAATCACTCTCAAATATTTTCTTTAAATAACATTTTAAATTCTCTCAGCTAACAAGGAATTACATGGTTTCCATTCCATAACTACAATAAATACATAAATCATTGTTAGTCCAAGTGTATGTAAGCTTATGCACAGCATACCCTGTTTGGATGTGGCATATGTATAGGTAAGCAGCTTACGGAAATTAGTAACTTCAGTCATCTCACAAACAGAAAAAAAACATTAGATGAGAATCCTGTTCCTAGCTGGAACTTGCAGGACACTTGAATGAATAATATTTTGCATTGGCTTATGCAAAGAATTGCACTGTAACTGAGGTTTCAAAGTGAAATAATTGGCGGCTGTGTGGTAGAATACTTAAAAATGGTGACTGTACATTCTTCCTGAAAGATAACATGCACTATGAGGGCCCCAAGAAGCAAATACAGAAGTGGCCAAGAGGAATAATTTGCCTTAAAAAAATAATTTTGCCAATAATCTTTAGTAAAGAAATGGTGGATTAAGACAAAATTATGTAAGTGCATGAATTTTTTAAGGATTTTCATACATAAAAACTGAATCTCTTCTTAGCATCTTCAAAATTCTGGACTAAGTCACAACTCAGTTACAAGAAAAAAGTCAAAGGCAAGTTTACCTGAATGACATGTATGCAACAGTTTTTACTATATTAACAATCTTTTACCACTTGCTCTCTTTAGTGTCACAAATTCATTTTAGCATACATAATATACACACTGCACAGACAAGTATTTCCTTTTTATTCTTCCACTGAAGTTCATCTTCTTGTAAAATATTACTTGAAAAACTAAATTTCTGTTTTAGTTTTGGAATCATAAGATGGTATAGGCTAGAAGGTACTCTCAGCTCAATTCTGGGCTAACTTCAAAGTTTTCTTTGGATTCTTCACAATCAGCTCCACATCTTCTCTAAACTATTAGCGAATAAACAGCAATCAAGAAGTATTCATAAAAAGTTCAAATATGTATTATTTTGCATTTATCACTACCAGTGAATTTAACCAACTACAGAGTTATTAGTTCAACAATATGAGCTCATAGCTCTGGTGCTTATTATTGTTATGAGTAATATCTACTGGAGAATTAAAAATTACAGCTACAGGTTCTTTAAAAAGTTCATCAGGTGGATCAGCCAGGGTATGATTCACTTATAAAAATAATATTTTTACCAAGAGCCTCCAACTATGTAAACAGAATTCTGGTTGAATGTGCAGTAGGAATTTTATAAAGTGATTAAAGAAAATATTCACATTAAATGACAGCGTGACAACTGTTGGTCTAACACAGGAAAGAGGTTACTGCAAAGGAATTGCAACTTTGTCTGTGGTGCAGAATTCTTCCTACTAGGAACTAAGTATAGCAGAGAGAAAAATCGCTGCTAACAACCTTCAGAAAAATTCATGAGGAGAGGAAAGGGGAAGTAAATAAATATAAAAACACAGGATGATTCAAAGTTAGACGCTGACTGAACTGCAAGGTCAACTAAACCAGGAAAGGCATCTTTGAGATACTGTCAGTCAAGGAACAGAGACGTATTAGTGCTCTTCTGATAGGAACACATTAAAAGAATAAAACATTCCTTAAGTTTCAGGGGTGACTGCTGTGATTTAAAAATAAGCAAAAAAAAAAAATCTCCCCAAAACACCACTACAAGGCTATTTTTGTGTCAAAGTAAGTGTCTGCACTTAATAAACATATATCAGTAGAGATTTATGAAATAAAAACATAAAAACAATGACTCTTCTGTAAAGTTGTCTTTTACTGTAGATATAAGCTTCCTTAGGGCAGATGCATTTTGACCCCAATGGGCAACTCCAAAGTCACACACAGCTAAGGCTGTTTCAGATGGAAGCCAAATATCTGCTATAGCTGCTGATGGGAGTTTTGGGATGGAGGTCAGAGGGATCAGAAGAGGAAGTGAGGTGGTAAAAGCTATCTTGGTTTACCCATTAAAACTGCATCAGTAACCCTTCAGAAGTGAAAAAAACTGGATACTACAACAGCAGGAAAAAAGCAGGGAATTGCTTAAATAAAGAATGAAATTCTCAAATACCATAATTTACAGGCTTCCAAGAGTTTCCAAAGAAGTGAATCTCAGTCATTCTTTTAAATTGTTAATTGAAGAGAAAACAGTAAGAATAATCCCCAGACTACTTTGTTAATTGCTTGATGTCTTAAATTGTGAGATTTCAGACCTAAATATTACCAACAAAAAAAGTTTTATCCCAAGTCAAATCTTTTAAAACTAATTAATGCCATAGCTTTTGAACCATTTGAAGTTTTCTTTGCTAAGTAACAGTAATTAGCTTGCAGCAGAAACTCCTTCCACCCACAGTCTCCCAAGATACCATGAGATGTCCTTGTATGAAGAGTGCTTTGTGTTGCGGTTGCTCCATTAAACGAATACTTAAACAACAAATAATCCCTCTCAAAAGTTCAATAGATACTTGATGGCAAGTATGGTCTCCAATTCAATCATTAACTCACAAGACATTTGTCTGTAAAAGACTAATCAAAGTTTCCAATTCCATGTGCACATGTGCACCCATGTGTATATGCGTTTGTGGGCCTTTCAAAAAATCAAAGGAGATTTTATGTTGTTTTTATCACATGTTTAATGACAAACATTAACACAAATAAGCATGAACTTCTAAAGCCATTTCTGGAAGTTATTCTCATACTCCAATAGGCCATTACGCACATATACACTTCGCATTTATTCCTTGTAAAAATCACAGCCAGTTGCTTATATTAACTATAATTTCAGCTTACTAATCTATTGGTTATAGTATGCCTAGATAGCTTTGAGGAAATTCATTCATTTTGGATAAACAGTTCATGTGGTACCACCCAAACTATGGAATGTTCTTCAATACATTTGGGGGGAAATAGTGATAATGAGAGCACGTCTTTAATCTTTTAACTACAAGGTACTAAAATCAGTAAAATTAAAATATATTAACAAATAAATGAATAAATAAAACTAATGAAATTAGGTGTGCTCAAGATGTTAGAGAAGGAGGCTTATTAATCAAGCAGTACTTACAAGAAGCTTTTTCCTGATGGCTTCCAGTTTTTCTGTAGCTGCTGCTAATCCAGTGTTAGCCTGAGCCAGCACACAACATTTTGGTTCTGCCTCATATTACACCTTGAAAAAGACATACAACATTGGTACATTAGACAAGAAATTGTCTCACTTTATTATAAAAATGATCAGTGACTCCTGATGAAAGACTTTCCAATAATCCTAGTAATCTTTCTTTAGATATATTTGCTTTAGACTCATTTTTCTACACAACAGTGGGACACACGGAGATTTCTTTTTTTATTGACTTAAAGACTACAGTAGATTTTATTACAGTTTATAGAAAGATGCATTAAGCAGAACTGAATGCACCCTTAGTGGGTCTACTCTCCAACTAAAGTTAATTTACATGTATCACTTTCATGGTTTTAGAATACAGGTGAAAATAAGACAGGCATTAAACCTGAGTAGATTTCAAATAAAATTGATAAGTCTTTTACTATTTTGTAATTAAATGATAGCATACTATAATAGTAGGATGAATGGAGGACTTCTGCTGCCAGGTGCTCAAGGGAATCGCAAATTATAAGCTCTGTCTTACACTCCAGACAGCCAGACTCAGATGGATGTTTCAAGTGAAACATGTACATCTGGAGAATATTTCCCCACTGTTGCATCACAATGACCACTGAAAAGCCCTACATCTTTTTTTCCACTTTCTACTAAAAATAAATGCATGTGTACATACTGTTAAGCACTGAATACTTCCCACTTTATCTGTGGTTGTTGTTACATTCTCCTCAGAACACTAAACTGAGCTTACTAAAACGATAAAAAAACCTCAGTAACAGAAATTCCCCCATCAGGGCCAGTTCAAGAGAGGAACTGATATATTCATACCTCAATGAATTTTACTATATTGATGACCCAGGCACAGAGACCAGCTGCTGCAAAGGATTTTGTACGAACATAATTTGGGTTGAAATCTGCATCTTTCAAGTAATGTTCCTTGATGACTTTCAGACAATTCTGAGGAATATGCTCCTTATCATAGTTGATTAAATCTTGTGAAGAGTCATCAACCTGCAAGAAGAGAAGTTCCAGTATATATTCTGTGTTTGACTTTTAGAGAAGCAGAAGCTAAATCCTACTTTCATCACAAGTGTAAAAGTGGAATCCTCCACTAGCTTATTGTTTTAGAAATGTTATGTATTACAAAGCAAAAACACTATTACCCCAAAAAGCCTGAAGTATTCACCCTCACAAACACATTTCGTGATTTTAGACCTCCTTGAGGAATTTGGTAGAGATGATATAAACATAATGAAATGCTCTCCCTGCAGTTTTGTGCTCAGCTCCAAATTCCATGTGTTCCTCATGATGAAAATTAACATTTCCTTTAAATCACCATGAAGAGTGGAGATACAGACTTACCTTCATCTTTATACCTGGGAAGATCATGAAACAGATTCTTCTACAAGCTATCCTAAGGCATGTGGAGGACGGGGAGGGAATTTGAGACAGCCAGCATGGCTTCACCAAGGGCAAGTCTTGCCTGACCAAACTAGTGGCCTTCTGTGAAGGACTGACTACATCAGTGGACGTTTTCTACCTGGACTTTTGTAAGGCCTTGGATTCAGTCCCCTCAAGTTTTTCTCTCTAATATAAAGAGATATGGGTTTGACAGGTGGATTATTCAGTGGTTAAGGAATTGGTTGGGTGGTCACATTCAGAGAATTGTGGTCAGTGGGCTCAGTGTCTCGACAAGTGGTGTCCTTCAGGGGTTTCATATCTTCATCGGTGACAGATGGTGGGATTGAGTGCACCCTCAGCAAATTTGCAGATGACACCAAGGTCAGTGGTTGACTGATATGCCTGAGGAATGGGATGTTATTTAGTAATGCAGGATAGGAGACAAGGTAAGGGATCTGTACAAAAAGGTTGGGAATTTTAGGACGGTCTTTAGAGGGGAGGCTCTGTAGCCTATGCCATTGCAGTAGGTGAGCTCAAGTGTTACACGATCTATGTCCAAATGCCAAAGCTGGAGCTAAACAAGAAACATATGGCAGAAAGAAAGTGAAGATTTTTACTAAGATTTTGGGAGCCATGAACTTATTTTCCTTCCTTCCCAATTTTTCCCCTTTAAAGGGGATTTTCCTTTAGAAAAGCTATAGGTAAATATACGAAATTTGTCAAACTATCCTCCATTTTCTGCCAAATTTGCCTCTTTCTTTTAATTCCTCAGTTTCAAGTCTGAAACCATAGGCTTCAACAAGGGAGAGAATGGGAGAAAATATCCTATATGAAAACACTGTACTTCCTTAATTTCAGGTTTGGAAATTAAACAGATATCAGTTAAAAAAACTTTATCAAAACACTTATTTTGATTTAACAGAGGCTTAGATCAGTGACTTTACATCAGCTAGCATCAGTTTTAAGTGAAACCTGAGTGTATCCACAAATTTTTGCAACAATTTAATTACCTGTTTAAAAGCCGATTATGAGTTCATTGCTACAAATGTATCTCAGAGAGTAACTCTGGAGGGTCTTCTGTATCATTGGTAATTATGTTTTCAGAAGATTATCACATTAATTTTTAAAGATACATTGCCTGGGGCTGAAGTCAGTTATATTTGGTTCGTTCTTATCCTAGTACCTCATGCTCATCTCACAGGCCCATTTCCTGTCAGGTCTTGCTTAAACAAAGTCTAATTATAGAGAAAGAGGATATTGCACTGATGAAGATGTTAATATTTGGATCAAGCACTATGCGTTGGCAGTAACAAGTATTAAGAAGTTAATATCCTTACAAAACATGTTTCTACAATTGTTGCAGGCATTTTCCATGTACACATTTATTAGATAGGACACACACAGACACTGTCTGTGGAAATAACAAAAATTAAAAATCAGTATGCATTATATTATAAATGACAAGTTACTAATCAAGTTAAATATTTCCTCCATCTCTTGTAATGTAGTTTTTAGGATGTAATTCCCAGTGTTTCTTGGTTTGCATCTTAGCCCCAACATATTTTTTAAATTAAATTGACACTACATAGTGCTTCTAATGTGCCTTTTTTTTTTCCCCTAAAAATAAACATCTAACATAAGTCACACAAGTTGATTATAGTTCTGTCTCTCTTTTTTCCTACTGCTTATTTATGCTTTGCTTGCTGATGCCCAAAGAAAATATGCAACAAGAAAATTGTTTTTTAGGGGAGGAAAAATAAACGAAACAGATTGTAAATAAGCTTTAGGACAGTATTTCTCAAATCTACTACGTCTCAAAAAGGGAGAAAGGAGTTTGTCATCCCTGTTTCCGGAAGTTTAGTCCCCTTCGTATAAATACTGCTACAGTATAGAGCTTTTGAATGATGGCTAAATTGTTAGAAAACAATGTGCCCTTCACAATCAGACCATGAGCAGAGTGGCTCAAATATACCAACCAAATAAAGAATGCACTTCAGCTGAGGGAGGTGAATAAAAAAAAAGCTAGTCAGCCTGGATCCATCTTTGTTCCTAGTCCCCAGCTAGTGCCACTATCACACATATGCCTGCTTTGCATATTTTCTTCCTTTGAAGAGGTAGGTCCTGTTTTAAAAGGCAATGGCATATGCACCTTAATCTGTAAACCACTCTGGCAGTATTCAGAGCACACAAATTGCTGGTAAAATGACAAAAGTGTAACTGCCAGCTATTTTAAAACCATATCAATATCATGTTTATGGTAAGATCCTTGTTTATTACTATACAGGTATATAACTCTGCCACATTTTTGAGGAATCCAGAGTGATCTCACTTTTCCTATGAGTATGATCTAAACTGACTTCCATTCTTAGGTATTCTTAAGACTTCATTCCAAGTCAGTACCTTCAAGGCATTTATTTGCTTAATGTTGTAAAACTCAAAAAGCTCTTGTAAACTCCAGTTTGAAATCTATAGAACAGGAAAGCAAAAGTAATTTTAAAGTGTGACACATTTTAATCAATTATGAAGAGTCTTTACAACTTACTTAGCTGGAAGATGTATTCTCATTTTCTGGGCTTTCTTTCTTTTAGTACCAATATATTATAGAAGATTAGTATTTAGAAACTATTGTCAACCTTATGAAAGTTTTATGTTATTGTAGCACAAAATGACATGTTAATTGCCATTAAAAACATTTCAGAAGTGCAATAAAGCAATGGACAGTGGAGTACAGTAATCAGCAGTGTCATGTGATGAACTTCATCCTGGAAACAAGGTGACCCAAAGATGTGATTATCTCACAATAATCACTCTATGTGTTTCACCTAGCTGCTTAATGAACTATTTGTGGTAAGGGTGCATTTTGATCATCCAAATCCATCAGAAGCATATAGAACCAATACAGGAAAAGCATAACTGAAAAGTGGTTGGATGGTAGGATGCTGAGCTGTTGGATCCCATTTGTGCAAGTTTAACTATTTGCACTATTTGGACTTTAAACTTCATGGTAATTTTAAAGTCCTATATAAGACATGGATCAGCAAAGGGATGAAGTCCATAATTAATATAATCCAGAGAAATAAAAAGGTCCTGATTCTCTCTTCATTTATGTTGGTAGAAAATCACTTTTCCCTCAAAAAATTAGGATTGGACACAAGGCCATTAGAAAGGTTTTCTGTCATTTAATAATAAGTGATTAAGAAAGAAAACTGAGGAAAATGAGAGACTATTTTGATTGCTCTTACAGTATAGTCTCCTGGTCAGTATCTGGAAACTGTTTAGAAAATTCTTGGCAACTTGAAGTTTCTACAGTTCAAAATCAGACATTAAGAACTATTATAAATCATTTAAGAACTCCTCTCTGCAGTATGGATAAATGGCACACTGTACACCAGATTTTGTAGCAAAATGAGACCTTCTGAATTTAAAGGCAGAGGAACTTCAGTTTACATCATTCCATACTGCTGGTGCTTTATTTCAAAACCATCCTTGTAACAGTAGATGGAAATTTAAGAGTCCAGATGAAATTATGCACTTCTATTCATTCTGTGGTGAAGACTAACCCCTGTAAACCTCTGTGTTTCCAACATGGATGTCTTTAACTGAACTGGGAGCAAAAAGGCTGAACTGAGAGCAAAAAAAGGAGATTCAACACTGATGACATATATTATTAGGAATGCTATCATAATCTTAAGATTCAAGGTTTGCACCTTGCAATATTGCGAGACGCTGGAATGAACTTCTGTATCAATTGAGTTGTTCAATTTACCTAGAGCCTCAAAGCCTTTAGAAATCTGAAGTGCTAAGAGATGACTCTTTGACCTTTACTGTATTACAAATAGGTCTGATTCTCAAGATCCACATCCATTAAATGCTTGAACGAGCTCAGTATTTATTGTTCTTTCATCTCATTAAAACAGCTAAAAGGTTGGGAAAAGGCATAATGTAAAGAAAGGTCAAGTGGTAATCACGGTGTGAAATGCTGTTACATGTGTAAGTATAATAATTCTTTAGACTTTATGCTCCCTGGAGAGGAAGTTGTTCAAAACTCTCCCCCTAAGAAGGTTTATTTTGTGCTAAATATAGTTCAACACCAGCAAATAGGGGAATTAGACTGACCTTTAGCTCCTCTGCATCTGCAATGGCCTTTTCTTGGCTCACTTCCCCAGTCTGAAACCCTATCTTAGCAATCAAAGCTTCAGTATCTTGATTTTTCAGTTGCAGTTCCGCCTCTTGAGAAGGAAGCTTGGATTTTTGATCTTCTACCTACAGGGCTAAAGATAATGCATTATTCAGGTCATTAGCCATAGTTCCGAAACCCAAAAGCTGAACTCAAAACAAAATTCATGTTTTGTGGGTCTCTATCAAAAGCGTTGTCTTTTCATTTTTTAGTTTTTGTTTGTATCTGACAGAATTTTATTGACATTAAAAATTTAATAATGACAGCCTAACTGCTCCCATCAGGAGCAGCTCCCCCGAAGTGCTCAGATGTCTGTCCTGCTGCTCAGGTTGTGGTTGTAACCAGGTGTCTCAGGGGTGCAAAAAAGGCACAGCTGCAGCACCTAGCAAAGGCACCAATGTAAAGGCAGAAGGACATTACGGAATATGCTTAGTATTCACTCTGAGCAGATAATTCCAGCAGAGGTTTGCTGAAAGGTTGAGACAAAGTCAGAGACTACTGAACGAAGACTACCTGTTGGTCTGCTGAAATAGCAATTTATTGCCTGACAATAGAGAAACATGTACCAAAATATCCAGTGACAGTATCTTTTCACATATAAAAGAATTGTTTCAAATACCTGTGGGTTTGGCTTGTTTTTTGTTTTTCTGCAATCTCTCCAAGCATTTTATCTGGCAGTTATTCATGATAACAGGCTATATTTTAGCCAAAGGGATTTTATTAACCTGATCTGGTTAGAGATGATAAGACAAAGTGAAAGAAAAATGTTACAGGGCTTACACTTTAATAATATCAAAGGTCTTGAGGGCTCTTCTGATTTGGTGGCCTCCTGAAATCCTACAAAATCTACAAAATTATCCCTTTCAAAATTTGACCATTTTGAAATGAGAAGACAAAGCTGAGTTGTAACTGATTTGTACTGAGTTGTAACAGATCCCAAATCTCTCCACTCTATTTATCATTTATTTGAGCTGACTTTATGTCTTTTTCTTTATGAAAAAAACAGTGCTGCATTTGATATTCTTGTGTAGAACTCCTCAGTACAGGGTAAAAAAGCCTCACCGTTTAACTGCTTGGCTAGATGGGATCTGTGGGTCTGTCAACCAGCACAGCATGCAGCACTTGAAATTGTCAAATTGCCAATTGGTCATCATCAAATCAAACCTCAGAGAAAAAGAACATTTTAATAATTTACTATCATGGGATACCTTATTAAAAACAGACTTAAAAACCCCAGCCACTCTTTTCTGTTGACTATTTTTTTTGCAGCTGACAGAGTGGGAATAAGCCAGCCAGCTCCAATTATTAACCTCATGCAGTAGCATCAAGATGCAATGTTATGCAAAGACTGCAAATGAGAATTTCATTTGCATAGAAACATACAGATTTTTTTATTTTCAATTATGGAATCACTGGATTATTGCTTATCTTCAGCATTGGCAAAAAGGGTTATGAACATGTGAGTGGGTGGGATGGCAGAAAGGCTTCCAAGCAGTTTCCCCTCCCTTCTGTCTTTGTGGACTGACCAACCACAAATGAACTGTAAGCAGAAGCACTAACTGGGGACTAAGTGGCACTAGCCTTACAAGAACGTGACAACAGCTGAGGGAAAGGTTTTGTACTCGTTCCTCCTGCTTCCATTTCTCCTCAGCTTGTCACTGGCCGTGCAAAAAAACCCCCACAAATGGAACTGCATCTTCTCTTTGCATGGGTTTAGCTTTTACTGTGGCGTTTGCTTCCCCTCCCACCTGTTTAGTGTAGCCCCACTATATTATCCCTCCCTCTAGACTTTGTCCTTGTTTAAATGGATGGTACCTTCTTTCCAGAGACAGCTAAACACCTCCAAGTGCTTCTTTGTAAAAAATCCACAAAACACAAAGCCCAACCATTCTGCATACAAATTAATTAATTTTGCACTGGCATTCATTAAGTCTTGAATCACAGAATATGCTGAGTTGGAAGGGGACCATCAGGAAGGATCACTGAGTCCAACTCCCAGACCTGCACAGGATGCCCCAACAATCCCACCATGTGTCTGAGGGCATTGTCCAAATGCCTCTTGAGCTCTGTCAGGCTTGGGGCCCATGGCCACTTACCTGGGGAGCCTGTTCCGCTGCCTGACCACCCTTTGGGTGAAGAACCTTTCCCATCACCACAGAAGCTCAGTGCTTCAAAATACTCATGTATTTTTTGATAAATACTCCTAAAAGCTAAAACCAGAGATTAAGTCAGTCATTATATCACTATATGCAGGTATACTAACCTATGAATTTTCTACTTCACCTCTGGAAATCCTGTCTAAGAGAAATCCTATATAGGTTAAAGAAACACAATGGAGCAGTTGTTGTAATCACACTGGTTCCCACATACTTCACATATCATCAAATTTCTCTTTGGAGTGGACTGCATTCTTACCATTAACTTCAGATTGAACAGGACTGGACATCATGATTTAGATTTTTGAAGTTTTACAAGTCACAGCTTATCTGTGCTTGTCAAAGTCAGCGACAACTAACCAATTGTTATGAGGGCAGGATTTAGACCACTGTGGAGTGCTTCTGAAAGTTGAGTCTCTACATACCATAAAATGTTAGAAAATCAGCAACATTTCTGTGCTGAATTGACCTCTCAGTTTCAAGGGGTATCTGACCAGAAAAGTAGTTATAACTCAATGGAGTTCAGATTCACTCCGAGCTGTGTTAGTTGACACTTCCCCACGTGCCACACAGATATCCAGCCACCAAATATAACTCCAGTTCCAAACTTATCTCAGCATGCTGCAGAAAGGATCCCAGAGTGTTACTGTGGCTCTGGGCAGGCTGTGCTGGGTGTCACACAACAACACATGAGGTTTCTCTCTCATCATAGGGACAAAAACGCAGCTATGAGACTGGAAATTTCTTTTGATGCGCTGTGAAAATCAAAACAGGCTAGACACGTTTAAAACAGCTCCAGATGGTCATTTAGGCATGTATTTCTGAGCAAAATGCAGAGATAAAATGCCTGTCTTTATTTACCTCTGACAGCAAGAAGAGAGGTAGTTCTAGAATTATAGTTTAAAGGTTATTTTTCTAAATTTTTTGGATACTGAACTGGCCAATACAGAGTATACTTCCCCAGAATACATATGAAATCAGAAAACCCCAACTTTAATATTTTTTTGCTTTAAAGGACCTTATTCACGTATATTACTACAATACACGCACATGTGTCTTAGCAAGAGTACTGTATGCAAAATTAACAGGCAAATACTTAGAAAGCCCATTTAACTCCACCACTGTAACTAACTTTCGTTTTGTCCTCTATGACTTCCAGCATACTTAAACTTTATAATTTGTGGAGTCACATCTCCCTCATTTTAATGATTATTTATTGCATTCTGTACAAGACGAACACAGTTCAATTAATCAAGGGAAGCCTAAAAATCAATTAATATGAATTAAATGAGCTACACCAACTCTTTGGAAAGTCACACATAATTTACCAAAGCATTGTCAATAATGCTTAGGGAACTTTGGGAAAATTGCTCATGAGTGGTTGTTGATGCAGTTAGAGGTTTTAAGCCTACATCATTACTATTACAATCAGGTTGATGCAGAAAGACTTGCCATTTTTCTCAGTAAGAAAACTCATTATTTTCTTGTGACTTTTAAGAGCTAGTTTAGAAGAATACTTATTTCACCTATGATTACAGAAACAGAAATTAAAACAAGAAATAAATAAAGATTTATTTGCATTTAGGGAAAACAAATAAATTGCTTTACAAACAAAAAAAATCAGAACATCATTAGTTGAAGCAAAGTAGCATAAATTCATCTTTAAAAAATTGTTTGTAAAAGCAAGGCTAGTCAGCAGGAATAGATATTTTATGCAGATTTGAGCAGCATTTAGCTTCCAACTGAAATGTGTTTCAGCCTTTTTCTCCGTTTTTTCATTGTTTGTGATATATACACACCCTGCAGTACAGCTCTTCCCAGCGAAAGACAACCTCCTTACACATGATCCTTATGAGAGGTCTCTACTCAGCAGCCCTGAAAAGCCCTCTAACAACAGTCTCATTTGTAAATCAGTGAGGGACGAAGTGGGTTCCGGTAGAGCTGGAAGTGGCCCGAGACAACTTGTCTCAATGGGGCAAAATAACTATTGTTATCGAGCTTAACAAAATGGCACAGCATGGGAGACACGCTGAGCCAGAGAGCAGCTGGTTGTAATTCACACTGGTTTTCAGAAAACACTAATCGTTCCCGAACAGACCTCTTTGAGGATTGGTCTTCCCTGCATTTTCAATTTGTCACTTTCTCTTATGATAAGGTCAGCGGTGACAGCACTTCCTGACATTAACAGCTGTGGCTTTTAAAAGGGTCATTGTGGAACTACTAATTGCAGTAATTTCATTAGCATAAATTATTTATTCTGCCATTCATTTATCTCCAGGATTTTTTTTTTTTAATACTACATTGTACTTTTCAATATATGCCCATTCAGAGTTGTAGGCAAAGGAAATTATTATTGCTAATTTAGTTTTCTTTATTGAAAAAAAAAAGCAAATAAAGAAGAGTTGATACAGTAACAAAATCTGATTTAACTGCAATTCTCTAGAAACCATAAAGTAGCTTGAAGCCAGCAATGAAGCTTAGACTGGTACAAATCAAAACCATTCATTAGTCCAAAAGACAACTGAGCATTAAATCTATATACATTCTGAAAGAAAATATAACAGGTGAAGCTTGTTCGTTCTTATTCAATCTCTCTGCTCCAGGCCTTGGCTGACTGACTCTAAGCATTCAAAAAAACCCCAAGGCAAGTTATGAGTAGTTTAAACAGGAATTTTGCCTGCATCCTCCCTATATCTTTTCTAAGGACGTATAACAGTCATCACTATCATACGTATAAATCTTTGCAGATAAGTTGAGCTAGCTGAAACATGTCATGCAAAGAGCAAAAAAGACCAATGTCACTGAAAATGAACACATCTCATGGGCAGTTATCAAAACAGAAAAAAAGCCAAGCCAGAAGAAAAGGTAAGGGGAGTGGGTGGACAGGTAGGGGGGAGTTTGAGGCAAGGGGAGAAAACAAAAATATTACTCTAGGCTGCTTCTTTGCCACACCACATTCTGTAAAGTATTTTGGAATATGATAAACTAAGAGCATAATTAATTTATCCTTGGTATGCTCAACAGTGTGTGCTGTTTGGTGCTAAGCAGCAGAGAGGCAGCATAAAACACAGCAACAATAAAATACTCAGAGGAGATATGCATGGCTGTTATTTTCAAGAGGTGGATTAAACAATTCTGATTCTTTTATTCTAGACTCAGTGTTGCTATGTGAAACCAGCTGAAAGCAAGAAAGGGAGGTTGCCTGTCTTGTTGAATTTGGATATAGATTATTTTAAAATACTGTAGATCACTTTTTATATTAAATGAGGTATAAAGGCATCTTTGTAGATTTGTTAAGCTTAGATTTCAAAACTGTTACACCCTGTTCTTTTCTTGTGCTCTTTTAAAATTAGGTTCAGCAATTTGAGTACTGAAACAGAAGAGGGCTCTTTTCCTCTCTTCTCTCCCAAGAAGTCAAAGACATCAGAACTGATTAAATTTCTGATACTCTCTATTTCCTTTCAAATACCTCTGAACTCACTGTTTCTTTTCCTTAACCCACACATTGATCAACGTCCTTCCAGGTGAAAAGGATCTCACAATGTCTATTTTCAATAGGCACCATAATTAGGGAGGATCACTTGTTCTTCTTGTTCAGATGCTTTCACACAGGGAAAAAGGGATGTTCAAAATACCCTTTATCGAGCATACTGACACTGCAGTTCACCATCTCCCTGCTGACCTCAATCTACCCCACTTCTTTTCCCGGATAAACTGTATCTTCCAGAAAAGTAATAGGTTTGAAGATAAAGAGATAGAGAAAAAAACCCCAAAACTTGAAAACCAAAAACTTCCTTCTCAACTCCCACAATCACTGTGAGTTTTTTATGGTTTTCCCTCACCATTTAAACCCAGAAATGTCCCAGTTTTTGTCAAAGAAATTTAAATATGATATCGTATTTGTAATGGACTCTTAAGGGAAAAAAATCATTAGCCTAATTTCAAGGTACCCTAATTCAAAACAATCTGTAATATTGTTAAACAATAAACCCAAAGTCCCCTATCAATTACTATTGCTCTATTTTTTGAAACTGTGAAAAGGACAATTAGGAGCTAAGAGCCAATTGTGCCAAAATAGTCAGTAATAGACCTCACCTGCTGATCAATCATACAGTATTTTACAGAAGCCCAGGCACATGTGAGCCCTAGCTAACAAGATTTTACTAAGAATAAAGGCTTTCCTGAAGTATCGAAAAAAATGATATTAATAGACCAGTACCAGCGAGAAGGAGAGGAGACCACCTCCCATAAATCTTTGATGGAGAGAGGATGTCAGATTTCGGGTAAGATTCCCTTTTCTTTAGAGTGGTCTTTTTCGACCCAGCCTCTCTAATTCTTTTGATATTCTAATACAGCTCTGCAACTGTCCAGTTGCCCCTCTCTTTACTAACTGTTTTTCTGTGGTCCTACTCCTTTCACCTTCCTTTTACTCCTCCCTAGACTCCCTGCTGTACACCTCTCCTACCGTTCTGGTTCAGTTTTGCTTTTTTTTCTTGTCTCTCACTTAGTTCCCCTGTAACATTGTCATAGTTTCTCTGTTATTACAATGCCTCTGTTCTGAGTTCCCTTTTCCCATCACTTTCAAATCTTTCCCTTGCCTCATCCTAATATTTTTTTGAATTCTGCTGTCTTGTCTGTTGGTCTTCTCACAGGCTGTACATGCAGACAGGATTCAGGCACCCTGTACTGCTTTACGCATATTGATGGCACAGAAACCTTAACTCGCTTTCAATAAAGTGTCACGTTATTTTGTTATGTGACATTTATGTCACCTGCTGGGAATCAAACAGGAAAGATATTTACCAGGAGCAATTAACACCGGTGTTAAAAAAGAAACACATCAACAGTTGCTAAGGTTAGTGAAATATTTCCTTAGTATCTAAAAAAATGAATTATAGAGGAACACAGTGCCTAATTATTTTATAAAAAGTTTAAAAATAAAAACTCTGTTTAACAATACATTATATACTAAATATACTATATTATGAATTAATTGTTATATAGGATATACGATAATGATATATTTACATGTAATAATATTAAAAGACGGAATTCTTATGACCAGATGTATTATCACAGAAGAAAAATATAGTCCTCTCAGTAAAGGATCTGAAAAAGCAATATATTTAAGCCAAAATAAATTCTATCTTCTTTTCTCCATGAAATACTATCCATTTCCTTCAAATAAGAAGTTGTTATCACATTAAAAATTAATGCAATTAACACCCCCTCCCCCCTTCCAGCTCACCAGACAACAAATAACTACCCTGATGACACTATAAGTCTATGTCAAAATAAAGCAGAAGGAGCTGATGGAACATACAAATGTCTGGCTTATTTGCAAACATCTCTCTCTCCCCCGCAGTCCTACAGGAGGCATCCGTGTGCCGCCGGAGCGCTGCAGGGCCGGCAGCCAGGAAACCTGGATCGGGTTCCACAGCCCAGCTCCCCATACGGCCCCGGGGAGGGGAAACGCCCGGGGGTTCCCTGGAAGCAGCCTCAGACATCCCTTCCCCTTTCCGTCTCAATTTCACGACGTCTCCAAGCATTTTATATGGGTCTAAATGGAGAACAAATGCTGTAAATGCAGAGATTTGCATCGTGTCACCCTTGACTAAAAACAGACAGCTCTTCCTTGGGCATTCCTGAAATCCTTGGCCTACTGTGATTAAAAATCCCTTATAAACAGTCCCAAATATAACAATGAAACTACTGCAATTGCAGTCACTGAAGGAAATTAAATCTTTTCTAGATCTATGTGAATGACTCCACGAGTCTCACTGCCAGCATGACAGTGTTGTCCCACCCTGGAAGGGACAACAGAGGCAGCCTGGTAAAATTCTTAGAATAATACGAGTATATTCCTTTTCCCCATAAGGAAATTCACTAACAAATATGGGATTTTGTTTCCTTTTTCTGAAAGCAAACAAGTCACACTCTATCAGGAACACATCAATCAGGAACAAAGGGAGAATAATTGTCTAGATATTAAAACTCTAAAGGCATTTGCCATGTCGTGCCATGTCATGACATACAGGGGAAATTTTCACCTCTCTAATGGCTGAACAGAGGAAAAACTCTTCTTTAGTTCCCCTGGACTGTGCACTGCAGTATTTCAGCCTCACTTGATACAGCACTAATGAATATATTCAACTCCATTGGAACGGGTTAAATAAACTCTGTATCTATAAGATGCTAAATTGCCTAGAATTGAAGGATTCTGCAGAGATGAATTAAATGCCTCTTTTTCCCTCACTTCTCTGCCTGTGCCAGACGCTCTCTAAACTCTGCTGAAGGAAGCAGGCAGTGACATGCCATAAAAATTCAGCTTTTAGCAGGAGTGAGCTTGAACAACACCAAAGGCAATAAGTATGCAAGAAGGGGTAAAAAGAGCACTGTTTTTTTCTTCCAGCTTATTCAGTTATTGATCTTTCAATGATCTCCGTTGCTTTCTTAGAAAACTGATGAGCTTGAAACTCTGTACCTCGACCCCCTCAGCTTCCTCAATGAACCTCCTGCTGCCAGAGCAAAGGGCCTCCCGTGGCCACTCACGAAACCAGTCAATAGCAGGGCGCTTAACCATGGCTGGGAACTTCCGAGCTCATGCTCATAGGGCGGCACTGGCTGGAAAGAAACACAGAACAATCTGTGGAGAGGAGGGAGGGAAAAGGGAGAGAAAAGAATCACAGACCATCAAAGAGAGGTATACAATTAACCATGGGCCAGCAACAGCCAGTAAACAGCTAAGGCTCCAAACCAAATTTGGAGCTAATAAACCTCGTCAGTGACCTTGGCAAATAGGTTTTGCTCCTTTTCCATTGTACAAACATAGCATACTTGCATTTTCCTTTCCCTCTATCTATGCTGGCATCCGTTATTCATATATTATATATTGTATATATAATAATATATATATTGTATAATATATATAGTATATATACAATATATATATGATTATATATATTATATATAATATATAATAATAATATATTGTATATATAATCATATATTATAGCTATAGATGATAATGCAGGCAGAAGGATGGCTGGCATGCAGACAGCCAGAAGGTGCACTTTCAGCTGGTCATGCTTATAGAAACCCACTTCTTGAGTTTCTAAATCTATCTGAGCCTCTTCCTTACACTTTAATACACAGTGCAACCCCTCTAAAAAAGCAGGAAGAAAAGGAGATCTGGATTTTAGTTTGCATGGGAATTTTTAGGGATAAGCCTTTACAAACGTGGAAAGAAAAGTCCAAAAAGGGTAGGCTAAAATATTCAAAGGAAAATAAAACTGTGATTGGCTTTTGATAACATCAAGCCTACCCAAAGCAACTCACATCTGGGAAGGAAGGGTTATTGTAGTCCTCAGTCATACCTGTGGACCTACTTACTACAGTTAGCAAATGCTTTGCTCATTGAATTTGCTCTTCATTCACTGGTAAAATTACAAACATCAAGCTGTTAAAATAGGACTGAAGTTTCTCTTACACACTTCTTAGCAAAGGAGCTATTTTTATTGTACAGGGCATCTCAAACCATATGACACTGACATTGTTAATTCCAGTAGAAAACATCCAAGTGGTTTCAGAGGAGTTTATAACTTGTCCAACAGCCACAAGAGCCCAGATAGAGCCCAGTCAGGCATGTCAGAGAAGTGACAAGTTTATTAAGAGAAAACTGGATAGAAAGGGAAGAAGAACAGAATGCTGAAAGAAAAGAATCAAAAAAGGAGTGAAGAAAGGAAGAGGTTGACCTGGGACAATATTTCACTGAGTTTTAAAGCAGTCAGAGAGTAAAGTGATGAATAGATAGTAAAAAGGTTCAATGGTATCTGGAAAGATTACATGGAAAATGTAAAAGAACTGCCACTATCTCACAGTTTCTAAAAATACATCTCTGCAGTGGAAAACACAGGACAGGAATTTATGCAAACAAGCTAGATTGCAGAACAAAGTCAAACCAAGAAAATCTTTACCATTATTCAGAAATATCCCTTGAAGAAAAAACATTTGCTGGGACATTTATAATATTGTAAAGCTTGGATTTTATGCTGAACCATAGGGTTTGTTTGTCCTTTCTCCTCCATAGCCAAGAATTTAGGCAGAAATGTAGACACCCATGCAAAAACACACTGGAGTCGAGGTTGTTCAGGTATGTTACAAAGACAGGCTAATCAGCAAGTTGGTTTAAGGTACAGAAGAAAACATCACCTACTTTGAATATGTTCAGCATGAAGAGGCAAATGGCAGAAATAGCCACATAGAATTCTAGCCAAGTGGTGAAAATTACACTAAAACTGTATAAAAATACAGAAAGATCTTGGAATTTACTGCAAAATTTTATCAGGCTGATGAGAAAGAAGGGCTAATACAGAAGAAAGAGTCAAAAAGATACTAGAATAAATGTTATCTACCCCAAAACTCCGAATCGGAGAAAAAGAAGAAATGTACAGGAAGAATCTGCTAAGTTTGTTTCACGATTCTCAAAAACCTTGAACACTTCCCTGAATTTGTTTCTTGGTTACACCATGTATGCTTTAGTTAGACACCGTTTCTCCCTCATGTCACCTCATTTTCTGAAAGAAAATCTATGTTCAGTTGTAACACCAAGATGCATGGTAAGCAATGTTGAAGCCTAGGGCACCTAATTTTTTCTTCTTCTATTCCACTAGTAGCCACTTTCTAAGATCTGCACATCCTCTCTGCTCTGGTAGCAGCAGTCATGGAGAGCCTGGAGATATCTGTCTCTGCTTTGACATGCTTCCTACAAGTGCCCTTGCTATAGCAGTGGTGCCAAACTGAATCTATCACACCTCCAAAGGTGAAACCATACACAGTCTTGCTTGAATTTTCACCTTCTACACCCTCCTACACTCCTCACATTGCTCATATGTGGAAATTTACTTCTTGGAATAGTTGGTCCTAGAGCTCAAACTGAAACACACAATTTATAATTTCCATTACTTTTCCCGAAAACACCAATTTACAACTGAGAGATTTTTACTATACGGTATTGTTAGGCAGGAAATTCCAGCACAGGTCTAGATATAATGTAATACCCTGATTAGATAACTATCTCTTTGTTAATTAGTTTTTTGTGGACAACAGAAAAAAAAGGGTAAAAAATGCACTTCAAAAGTTAGTCGTAAAAAGACTAACCTCACCACAGCATAGCTTTTCTTTCTCCTTTAGCTTTAGTGAAGCTTGGTAAATTCACATCAGACATAGATTTGATATGGCATGTTTTTGGGGTTCGTTTGCATTCCCCCCAGTGAGTTCCCTGTACTATAAAGGACCTTGTGCACTGCTTGCTTTGCACACAGAATAATGAAGATTCTGTGTGGTCTGATGGCAAGTGAGCTGTAACAAAATTTGAGTAATTACTACCAACTACATTTTGAACAATTTCTGCCTAAGCAAGAAGGCCTTACTTTAAAAACATTTATCTTCTGTCCAGGCCATCCATTACTGTTTAATTTGACAGAGAAAAAAAAAACATTTATAGGAAATTCTCTTTGTAAGAAATGGAGAGTGCTTTGCAAGAAAACTGGGATATAAATACCACAGAGAAGGTATTTCATATAGTAATGGAAAAATTTAGGACGCTTTCCAAGATATACCCATCATTTTCTTTGAAAGAAATGCGGATTGAGAGGGACTATGCAAGAATCATTCATCTGACATTTTTTAAATTTAAATTTGCATAACTGAATAATGAAGACAATCATTGTGGAAGAAAGAATTGTTATAATGTGAAATCAATATCAACTTCCACGTAGCATTTACTCCTAAGAACACAACCCCCCTATTTTCTCAAGTGTCCTATTTGAGCTTCGCACTCACATGTCACTCGCACTGCAGATGCGTCTCTTACACTATTTTTTTTGGCTCAACCTCCTCCTGTTTATCTGAGATATGCAAGGTCTCTAGGCTCATCAAATGCTTCAAACAGCGAAAGACAGACAACTAAAGAGCACCTTGGCACATGCCTGACCACTGCTCTGATGGGGCCCATCCTATTTAAGTGTTAGTGCACCCACCTGCATGGTTTTCCCATATGAAACTAAGCAGTGCTGCATCAGCAGTGAGGAGCTGTACAGACCAGGAATATGTCCTGACAGCTCTGTGCCACTACCATCACTTTGCAAGCCCAGCATGGGGAAAGCTAAGCCATATGGATGCCAGTCATGTCATGCTACTAGTCCTCAGGACCACAAAATGCCCTTCATAAATTTACTAATACAGACATATCCTTAGAAGTCAGCTCTCTGAGTACTCAAGAAGAGATGGCTGACATCCAAATAGAAAAGCCTGGAGGTTTTCATAGAGAAACAGGAACTCTTACTGTAAGAGCCTGCCAACTGCAGAAACAGATGTTTTATATGCTGCAGAACTTAGAAATCCTTGATACTTATTCCCCACTGAATCAAACAAACTGAAAAAAAAAAAAAAACCAACCAAAACAAAACCAAAACACACACACACACACAAAACCAAACAGAAACCCCCCAAACGACCCCCCCCCCCCAAAAAAAAAAAAAAAACAAGACACAACCTGGGGTCACTATCAGTTTAACATAGAATCAGAAACCCTAAAAAATATAGTTCTTTTTGTCTGGGATTAAAGCAGTCAAGCTGATAGATATGTGTATTTATGCCCCCAAAGGAAAAAACAACGAGAGCTGGCCAAAAGCTGAGCTCTGATGGGCCTTCACAAGTTCCTCTCAGATTCACAGATAAAAATAGATGTTCTGTCAGTGGTGAAACAGACCGCAAGGAAAAGGCTAATGTGTCCTAATAAAAGAGGATTTGGAATGAAAGACAATAATTTAAAAGAAAAATAATAGTAAAAATATGGACAAGATTGCCTGTGGCAATGCAGGACACCCACTCTGCCTATAATTTGACATTAATTTGGACTAAAGCATTAAACTACTGTACTGCTAAATGCCATAGAAAATGGGGAGCCAGCTAAATCCTGACAGGACTATGGAAGGAGGAGACTATTATAAGAATGTGACGACTAAAGCAGTCATGCCAAGTTGGAAAGAAATTGGAGAAATGGCCTTCCCCTGAAACTAGTAACTTTAATTCTTAATGCTGGGACTTCACAACAGTCACTGAGGGACTGTAAACTTTGAAACACGAGGAAAATACGCAATGAAGACAATTGTTCAATTGTCTACTACAAATACTACAGTATTTGTAGTAGACCCACAGCTCATGAAGAAAACTGTCTACATTCAGACTGAATAATAGAGATTCAGTTTAAAAAACCCCCATGTCTGGCTTTAGAATATATAGTAATGGTTAGGAGCACTGAGGAAACTGAGATGAGAACTTTAAAAACATACAAATATGAAGTGATGCAAAGAGTATGCTTACTGGAAAGAGCATACTTGAGAACATGTTTATGTAGGGCATGAGGGCTGCAAGGCATTTAGCATGATGTTCACATTTTTGGGGAAAAGGTGAAGGGTTACCATGACCAAAAGAATGAAATAAAATCATATGGATCTAAAGAGACAGCATGACTGACTGATCTCATATCCATGCTTTCAAGAAATAATTGCTTCTTCTGGCCCTTAGTTTTCCAAGAAATTTTGGTAATGTGCAGAGTATTTAAGACTGATTACTGCACAGAGTTTGAGACATTGAAAAACTTCTGGAGCTCCAGTAAATCACTGAGCCTTAGAAACTTCTTATCTTATGTGTGCCTTAGCACTGTCAGCACATTAACTTTTGCAGTGTTTGACCATCAAATTTATTTGCTGGAGCAGCATTCTCCCTTTATCATTTGTTTCATGATTCATCATGAAAGTTTTTGAAATTCTCAGGTGCATGTATGTCCTCACATACCCTTCAGCTGTGGACCTATATTTTATAGAAGTGCAATCTGCTGTCTTCACCTGACATATTTTCAATTTAAATTTGCACCTACGTACATGATACGTTCTCGTTACATTAACAGCAGAATGGATTGCAAGGTCCAGATTGAAAACAGTCAAAACAAAATCAACACAAACCCAAAGAGCTATGGTGATTCAAGGAATAGCACTGGGTAGTTTTGGTTCCTGAGCGACAGATTCCTCACCATAAACAGAACTGCAGAATTTAAGATTATATGTGGGTACAAGGGAAATGTGGCTTCATGTAGGAATTGTGTATTTTTCTAAAATACAATTGGAAAATGAGACTATATCACTTAACTGTGCTTTAACATTATAAAACAGTCAAAACTGTCCCTTCTGTTCTCTTTCACATTATATTAGTCTTTTATTCTTAATATAGGGAAAGGAGGAGGTGATAGGTCACCCAGCACTAACTAGAAGTTCATATAGATATTAGCCAGTGTGTTAACTCATAAAATTTATATCTCCTTTACTACTATAATGCCTCTGCTTCTGTGCAACATGAATAGATATCTTCTGTTCTTGCCTCCAGTAGAGTTAATTTGCACAGTGGGTGACTGGTGAAATGGTTGCAAGGTAAAAGGCATTTGAAAGCTGCCTTTCAAAAAGCCCTTAAAATGAAAAACAAAAAAGAAAATAAATTAAGAAATTACTGTAGAAACAAGGAAAACAAAAAGGGAAAAAATGTGAAAAGAGAAAATTGAGAAAGATATTAGAAATAATTTTCCCCCTGTCCTTTCTTAAAAAAAACATGCACAAACAGAATAGTCATGAAACAGAGGCAAATAGCACTGTGAGAAAGAGATATGCAGAAGGTAAGCACCACTATTGACCATGTTATTTAAGTCTGTAAAAGTGAAAACAATATAGAATATGTTACACTAAATTCCATACAGGTCTCCACCAACCTTTAAGCTGCAGAAAAAATTTGTGGAGGGACAGAAGTAATGGCAGCAGAGTTAGAGATAGGAGAGAATATCAGCAAAACTAAAGCAGAATTGGAAAAAGAATAGTTGGGGGGGGAGGGAAAGTGGTTTGTTATAAAGTATAAGAACTCAATATAAAATTCATAATCAAAGTGTAAGAAATTGATAAAAACCTCATAATCAAATCGGAATGGCCTTTAGATCTGTGGTGGTTAAACATTTCAGAAAATGAAGAAAAAAGCCTGCACTGAAGACCACTGTAGAATAATCTGCTATGGGAAGGCTCTTCTCATCCAAATCAAACAAATCATTTTAATGCACAAAGTACAAGGCATATATCCCTTTCTAAACATTCCCTTTTTAGAGGGTTAATGGTTTTCAGACTTCTCATTTTCTTGTAAGCTACACGGATGTTTCAGATGATGTGTGAAACTGAAGACTACATAAACTGAAAGTTCCTAAAGATGCCACTCCAAACCCAGTTTTCCCCGCTTGTGCTTTCAGGAGAAACCCACAGTCTGCCTCAACAACATTGTCTCTTAAACAGAGTTTAGGAAAGGCACTTGTTGCAATTGTAGTATCATATTAATGTGTATCACTAAACAGTTTTAAACCTGAAAACTACAGGTTTAAAAGCTACATGGATATTTTTTTTCCAGTTTTAAATGGTGTAGGAAAAGTAGAATGAATTAACATTTTCTGTGAAATTTCAATTATTTGTTCAAATATTTTAGAGTTGAGTACACATACAGAATTACTGCATGTGTAATTAGGGAACATACTTACAATTGCATTAACAGCACCACTAACTCCTCATCAGCACCTCACTTCTCTCTGAAGTGCATCATTATGTTCAAGACATAAGACCATGAAACTAAGACACAGAGCAGCTATGTGACTTTCCTATGAACAGCAGGATGTCAATGGCCAGATCTAGGAGTAAAACTCATAGGGAGGCAAATTACAGGGGTAACATGAGAGAGGCAAACTCAGTGCTACACCTCAGTGAGCAAGCTTTCAAGAGAAGTATGCCACCATATGCTGGGTTATGAGATAACTGAAGTATGTTGCTATTTTGATCAGCTCATCATTGTTTCTTGCCTCTGCAATATGCCTTACTTTCAACTGCAGCCACTACTCAAGACAAACCTCCAGCAGTGCTCTCTGATGTCCCATCAGGCCCAGGACTCAGACTTTTTTTCTAGCCTCTGCAACTATGACCTTCAAGTCTTCATCACTGAACAGGTCTGGAACCTTTCCTGTGAAAAGATAAAGGAGTAGGTAAGAGAAGCCTTATAAAACATATGACAAATAATGTACACAGTATTTAGCCCAGTGGGATTTAAGCATATAACTAGAGCTATGTTGATCCCAGAAAAATCCAGTCACAAAAGAGTCTTCTCCTGTTCCCTATGCTTTTTTGCCTAAAAAAACCCTTTTTCTATTTCTTTAAGGGAAAGCAAATGACATTTTTTTGAAATGGCAAAAGCTTTTTCCCTGATAGGAAGTTAACTCATAAATTATATGTGCTTCAGAACAGCAGTTCCTTTTTTTTTTCAGGTTGTCAGTGAATTGTTTATAAATCTGGTTCCAAACGTAAATAGTAACTTTTTACAAAATCTTTCAAGATGCACTCCAACTGTGCTGAATATTATTTTCATTTTTTCTTCCATCCTATCCCCAGATCCCCACATTCAGTATCCAATTCTCTAATCTTCAAAACATGGGTGAAACTGCTTTGCTACATGTTACACTTGTGCAATCATGAAGACAGTGCTTAAAATTAGTGAAATCATACCAAAGCAAACATAGCATTAAGTCAAAGAGAGGTTTCCATTTCCCCCCAAATCAATGCACTTAGGCATGATTAGCCCCAGCAATTTGTCTTCTCAGTGGGCAATTCCTTTGTAAGCAAGTTAGACTCAATGCTCAAGTTGCATTGGTTGAGTTGGTCTCTCTAAAAGCTCTCCCTATAAATACCTGAGAGAGAAATAATCTCTTCAAAGTTCAATGAAAACACAGATCATTTGTCATTGGAAAAGATCTTTCAAGAAATGTGTTGGTTTAATCACCTGATGCCAACAAGTCATTAATCAGCACAAAAAAGCGTTCATCTGGAACTTGGGCATCTGTCAGCAAAAACACTGTTGGCATGTTCTTGGCCCCAGTCTTGATGTACAAACTGGCAAGATCTACCTGTAAGGAAGGGAGGCAATCACTCATAATCTGTTAAAATGTTGATACAGGAAAAGTGTGAAATGTATGTTAGCAGATGGCAGCACATTGCTGACCTCTCTTTACTTTTTTCACTTTATTTACATATCGCTAACTTGCCACGTAACATCCAAAGGGAAATGCAGTTTGCAGTTTTTCTTCCATATCAAACACGGACATTTTGATTTGACCTAGTGGCTAGATTAAAGAAATCCTCTCATGAGTGTACCAGAAAGTGATATTGCAGCCATGAAAGTCCCCATCAAGAACAGCCACAACTATACCAACAATGTCTGGGAACTGCATTGAAGAGTCAGATCCATTTTAAATTCTGTTGTTTCTGAAAGACTTGTTTTTTTCTTTAGCGAATTTATTTAGGAAGGCTTTCTCATGTGAAAAAAACCCCAAACCAACAAAACTGAGTTGTGCTCTGGTGCACTGTTACTTTGGCTATGGTCAAGACGAAAACATGGCTGGGACCATTGTGCTAATAGTGGTACAAATATGGAATGCTTTTTGGCTTGGGTTTTCAGAAAGAAAACAACCCACATGAGTTGTGTTTGAGTGCAGTTACGTTTGAAATACAGGATAAGGTCAGTGCTGGCTGCTATGAACAAGCTGCCACACAACCTAGCAAAGCAAATCCTCAGGCTTGTTAACAGAGGCTTAGAAGTCTCCCTCCTTGGAAACAGCATGGGGGAAATGACCACTTAAGCTCACATCCTACACTGCATCTCATCTGATGAGGGAAGGAGGGCACAAGAAGTTAGACATCATGAGGACACTGAAAAGCATACAGCATTTTTCAAAGCATAACAGCATGTACCTCCCTCCAAAAGCCAAAGGCTTAAAAAACCTTAGTCTACACACACTGTGGGGGTTTGGCCATGGTCCAAGGCTAACAAAAGGGCTTTTTGGGGACAGCTATCCACCAAATCTGGCCATAATGGGATCGCTACTTGGCCATGTGTGAGATACAGAACTATTTTTGTTGTCCACATGGAGTGAAGAGGAAGAAAATGTTCCTTCCTTCACTGTGGGCTCACACAGATAGGGCACAGACAGACAGTGAGCCTGATAAGAGCACTTCACTGAACTATATTCCTTGCCTTTGCATAGGGACAGTTTAAGTTGACTAAATGACAACATGTGACAAGGAGAAAATTTCTTCTTATGTTCACCCAATTTAGTTTTGTACCCTTAAATCAATACCTGTTCAATGATTTGCAAAAATTTGTAACAAACTGCTAACTATCAGAACTCCAACCACATCTTTGTAACCTCTGAAGTAGCTGCCTTGGAAAACATGGAGAAACTACCAAAATTCTGTGAAACATTTAAACAGACGCTAAAATACATTCTGCCCACCCATTTTTTCAAAAACAAAGAAAAAAAGAGGTCCAGCTGGAAACCACAGGGGTTGTTACTGCAAATTCTACTGTCTTGCCTGTGATTTTATCAAGCCTGTGCAACAACAAAACACATTCTTGAAACAGTGAACTCAACAAATTCAAATAGTACCTATCAGCTTACCCTGAGGTCCTGTATCCCATAAACTTTCTTCTGTGTGATTGGGAAAACTCCAGGGAGCAGATGTATGCTGCCAGCCTTGACAAGCTCAGTTTACCACCTACTCCAATCAGAAATGCAAAAGCCTTAGGGAATTCTAGGAAATAAGTGATTCAGCACCTGATGACAGAACACCAATAAAGTAACATAGAGTTCAACTATCTCCTTAGTCAAGTTTCTAAGTTTCTTTTTATTGCACTACACTCGCTTTTTTCTTTTTTTCCTTTTTTTTTTTTTTTTTTTTTTTTTTTTTTTTTTTTTTTTTTTTTTTTTTTTTTTTTTTTTTTTTTTTTTTTTTTTTTTTTTGTCTATTTTTGAGGTAATGTTCTCCTGACACTTTAAGGTACATTACCTTCACGTCAGCATTTTATTTATTTCCGATATTTTAGTAAGTGGAAAGAAAAGTTTTTTTCCTTTGTCAAATATTGAAGGTCTACACTAACCTCTACAGTGACCAGACCTGTCTGATTGCTTGTTCTTTACACTGAGTCACTCCAAAGCATCACCCCAAGATCCTGATGGACCCTGACTGGATTCAGAACAGAGATCTAGTTAATTTGAAGGGGGGTTTACTGGACCCTAGAAGCACATGAGAATTTCATGTCTGGCAGTTTGCACCACAAAGGTTGAAGGACAAGAAATGACTTAATGAAAAATTTGCATCAAACTTCAATTTACTCTTGAAATATCTAGCCCAGACTACTTAAAGCATGTTTTTCTTTGCTGATCATGGGATACTACGGGATGAATAAGGTAAGATAAGAACTTTCTCCCATATCAGATAAGATTTAATTGCTAAAATTTTGAAATATGTGTATTGAAGTAATTCTTCCCCCAAAAAACTATGTTTTAGATATTAAAAGAATTCTCTTGAAATTGATATTGTAGCAATTCAAAAAAGCACCTAAAAATATTTACAAATTTTTATTTTTTTTAAATCAGACGTGAATTCTAAGGGATGAAAGTCTAACTCAGTAGATTAGAGCTTAGAGGCAGCAAGTTGGACCTTACGCTTAATTTTTTTCCCATGTATAAATAAAACAAACCAAAAAGCATCCCCTTCATTCTCTGTGTCTCATGACACTGAAATAAGTAACCCTTGAATATACATTGATAAGAGCCTTCTTAAATAAAGGGATAATGTGTCTAATCTGGTTGCATCTAATAAAGAGGTAGAAACGCTTTCAACCAAAACATTACTGGAAGCCAATTCTCTTTGACTTTACTGTAGAACTTTGTCAGCCTTATTCATGATTTCACAATGGATCCATAAAAAAAAGCCCCATAAAAGGTGTAGAAAAAAGTTACAGGATTTAATTTCACAATCACTTTTGTAGGACTGCCAAATTGCAAGGCTAAGACGCCCTGCCACTTCATTCAGTGAACTGAGGTACTACTCTCGGTCACTAGGCTTCAGAGAGAAGATAATGGCTTACCACCATTTTCAAGCAAAACTAGTGATACCTGAGAAGGCTTCTGTCTGCAATTCTAATGATTATCACATCAACCTCTAAATCAGCCTAACAAAATCTACAGTCCCTATGAAAGATCCATATGATTATCTTTGTAATTTAAGCATTTCTTTAATCCTCTACAATAGACTGCTTAGTGAAGAGTGTCTTCTCTTACATAGCTCCTGCCTGATTACGTGCAAAGTGAAAAACGATGACACTGAAATCCTAGTCCAGCTCAATGAGAAGAAAAGTTTGTGTGTTAAACCATTTGACACTGCAAATAATAGAAACTGCTTTAATGATACTAATCTCTGCCAGCATGGGCCTCTGTCTCTTTCTGGAAATCACTGATATTACGCATGACTAGAATGACTGCATATGCTCAAGAAAGACTACAAATAATGACAAGGAGCAACAATGAACTCTGTGCCTCACTTATTCAGTAAAATCTCCACTTCATCTTCTGAAAACTGGCTGGTTTTCTTCCATGCAGAAAAACAAAGCAAATGCAGTTAATCAGATTTCAGGAACAGAAGCTGAGATTTTGGGCCACAATGGGTACTAAGATATTTCCTGACATAAGAAAAACAAATTACATTAAACTGAGATAAGGTCAATCTGCATATGAAAAAAAGCTATGGATAAATAAAATAAATCTATGATGACACTTAGAAGTCTTGGTTGATTTAAATTTAAAAAAGTACAAGTCTAGGCAGCAAAGCAACTTCAAGTCTCAAAGTCATAATTTAATATGGTATTACTTGTCCTTGTTTTGCACTAATCTCATTTTGCTTTTAAAAACATTTTCCCTTTCTTGGAGACGAAAGGTAAATATTGCTTTTCTTATAAAGGTCTGTTACGTCATTAACTACTTAAAAGATAAGGCAGACTTAGTCTACAACTTTATAGACTGTCTTTCAACCTCAGAAAATAAGTGGTGTAAATTTCTATAGAGCGCAAAGAAGGGTGAATCTCTATTTAAACAAACAAAATGGGAGTTAGTTTAACACTGAGCCACAATCTACTCTTCTATAACAGCATCAATAAAGTGTATTTATCAGCATTATTGCTGCACAGTGCCGTGCATAAGCCTTCCAATAAGAGCGTTATGATTCTGCAGTGCAACAACTTCTGAACAGTAAAAAGCAACTTCATGCAAACATTGGCAGCATTGTGATGAATTACTTGCTCCCTTTATAGATTATATTCTGCTTGCACATGCTGCATGGCACCCTCAAATAAGGCTAGGTTCAGAGAGGCATGCAGTTTATTGTAGCTTGAGAAGTTCCTAGAAAGCATATTACTCAGCAATTCCTGTGCTTTCACCAACTCACAACAAGGGTCTGCTCTGCGTTTGAAGAATGGTAATAGGTGAGCCAAGGCTGCAGCTACACTTGGTCTTCCACATTCTCCCACATAGTGAGAGAGAAAAATAACGGTTAAAAATTCCCCCAAAAGAGCACATGAAAAATTGTCAAGAAAAAACATTACAATAATGTAGTGATTGATGTACCCACACACTCTGCACTAAAAGACTAAAAGTAGGTGCAAGTAAGGGCTCAAAGCATTTGCATAATACATCCAAAAAGGCAGGCTCCAAACAAACTACTAGCAAAGCTGTTTATATCTGCGACTGCTTATGTTTAAACTACTTAAAACTAAGGAACAATTATTTTTTTTTTGTGATAGGAAGTCACTGCTCAACCTAGATTCAAACTGACCATATTATAACCTTTCCTCATTTTTCTTTTTAATCTCTGCTCTGGTGTCTGGCTACTGGTTTCAGCCCCTGCTTCATGGAAAAGATTGCCAAGCACTGGAACAGTCTGCCAAGGAATGTGGCTGAGTTACCAGCCCTGGAGGTATTTAAAAGATGTGTAGATGTGGCACTTAGGGACATGGATTAGTGGTGGATGTGACAGTGCTGGGCTAACAGTTGGATGCATTGATCTTAAAGGTATTTTCCAACCTAAATGATTCTGTGATACTATGATTATTGATTCAGAGCTTCTTCAGTCTTTGTTTTGTCCTATCTAGTCTTCAGAAAGTTGTTCTTCCCTCTGAAACACTGATCTTCTCTTCTCAAAAAAAAAAAAAAGTACATCAAACTTCACAAACCGTTGCTCTATTTCTCCAAAATACCTTTTTTTTCCCTTCATCTTTCTGCACATCTCATCTACCTGCCCATAGTCACCTTAGGGCAGAGTCTGTCTTGTACTTTGTACAAAAGGCATCTGTTCTTCATTAGTCCATATGTCATTAGATAATAAAGAGTAACAATAATAGAGTGTTGTTCGGTTGATCAACATATTATATAGACCTGAGAGTCATTGGAGAGACTTCTCATATTAAAGGTATAGTGGAACTTTATGGCAGTTGCTGGGACGTTTTGAACTACCACCTAGTGAAGATATATGACTGCTTTTACTATGCCTGGAATAGTCTTGATTACTGATGGAGTAAAAGCTTGTTGACTGAGGTGGAAGCAAACTATATTGCTATAGATGATAACTGGGGTATCTGATTCACAGAATCACAGAATATTCTGACTTGGAAGGGACCCCACCAGAATCATCAAGTCCAACTCTTAAGTGAATGGCCTATACAAGGATTGAACCCCAAACCTTGGCACTATTTGCACCAGGGTCTAACCAGTGGAGCTAGTCTTAAAGTGAATAAGAAAAGAAGTTGAAGCAAATACTGTAAAATGTCTCTGGAAATAAAAAGTGAAAAAGAGATGAAGATTCTCCAGCATCAGACAGCAAATAAGAGTCAATGAAGTGTTAAATAACAATGCAGACTGGTGAACATAAATCTATTTGTGTGCCACAGAAAAGACTTAAATTCTAGCTTCACCCTTGATGCAGTTCCACAGCAGTCTGGCTATGAGCCCCAAGGACACATCTGCCAGGTGAAGTACCACATGAGACTGTAATTTCTAAGAAATTCAGGGGACTCTCAATACCATAATAAAAACGGTGTGTCTCTTTCTGTTTAGCTAGAGGAACAGCAAGATTTTGAACCCCTACTAAATTTCAAACACTACGTTTTCTCTCCTATTCCCTTTCATCTCCTACCTACTGTGGTGAAAAACTAAACAGTAATTGTTTCATGTATTAAATACAGGACTGCTATAATATGACACTTCAAACCACACCTAGAGCCTAGGTTTGATAGTGAAGCTGCCAGCAGTTGGATTCATGTAAGCAACATACTGACAACTATGAATTTCTTTAATAGTTAGCTTCTGCCTATCATATCTGAGAAAGAAAATGTAGTTTGATTAATATCAGTGACAAAACACTGAAACACTGTATATTTCCAGGTTTAACCTCAGTTCAAGAATAGTTTCTGTAATACAAGAAATCTGAGATACAAATAGCCAAGGAAGTATCAAAATAGGATTGACATTTTAAAATTAAAAATAATCCCACAATTTCTATCATATAATATTTTGTTCAATTTTTTTTGTTGCAATTAAGATATGACCTTCTCACAAAAAATTCTGATGATGAAGACTTTTTTTAAAATAAAACTCACTCCAAACACACTTGGATGAGTATAGCATGGTCAGATGAAGTACAAATCAGTTTGAGAGTGCACACAACCATCACAGATCAGAGCAGACAAAGTTTACAGATCTCAATAATTAAAAAAACATCAAAGACCATCATTGAGTATGAGGAGGCATCCTCCTTTATTAGCAGCATCATCCAATAGATACTGTTTCTGGCTCTTCAGATGACACCACTTCAGGTGAATTAAAAGGAGGCCACTTAAAAAATAAAATTAAAAAAAAAAGGCTTTGAATTGCTGGTAAATTTTTTTCCAATTATCTAAATGTGAAGAGTCATGTTTTTTTAGAAGTTAGTGTACATATGAACTAGGTCAAGTAGGTACCATCTTTGAAAAAACATTGGAAAAGGAAAAGCCACAAATGGCCATTCCCTGCTTATATCAACAAATCCTTCCTAGAACTTCATACTACATACTCTTTCTTCCCATGCAATGAGTTTTACTCTATTTTAGGATTCTCAAATATTTATGATTATATTTATGAATGGTATGGTCAGCTTTGTTTCCTATTTTGATTTGTTTTGTAAAATTGAGGTTTTTTTAATTTTTGCTTTGATTTTGTTTCAAAAGAATTCAAAGCAATTCAAAAGAAAGAAGCATCATATCTTTTAAGCAGTAGGAATATTGAGATCTGAACTCTGAAATCTTTGTGAGAAAACCAAAGGGTTTTGAACTTTTTTTTTGGTTTGAGACTTCAAAAAAATCTTCAAATAGCATATACCTCTGGAAATAAAACAGAAGAGCATGGAGACATTAGCTTTGCATGTGTCTGAATTAGACCAGACTGATTTCACCAAGCTAAAAATATTTCAGATTTGAGCAGTCACTTCCCTTTTTTTCAGTCTTTACATCTTGTGCCTTAACAAGATATTCAGCTGACACCTTGTATCGTTCCTGCATGGGATGAAGTATGACCTAGAGAAAAAACTTATACAATTCATTTGCACTAAAAGATGCAAGAACAGTACAGAGGTTATTGCCTCACTTTGTCACAGCTATAGTCAGATCACAGTGTACATGCCAGTGAAAAGAACATCCCATGAAACAAAAGTTTTAAGGGTGTGGGTAAAATCCTTGAACACATGGTGAAGAAGCAGAGAACTGAGTACTCAGAGAACTCAACACTCAGCCTTCTAATGGACTGGAATGCCTGCCTAGTTGTCTGTGCACCTCCTTTTGACAATACACAGAGAGACAGCTACGTAAATTTAACTCACTTTTTTAATGTCTGAAAACTTCTTTACTTACCAGATCATTCACCAGATCATATCTCTGTGAGTCAAATATTTTCTTCATTTTGTATAAAAGTGGTGTGCTTGTAAAAGAACAAGAATCTAATATGCATTTATGATAGCAACGAAGTATTTACACAAAATATCGATCCTTCTGTAACAAAATGAAATAAAATATTAATAAGTTGATTTTAAACTTAAAACTTTATTTTTACATAAATCTGGTGAAAAGATTCTAATATATTTTGTATACTAAAAAATTTAATTGTCATTTAGAAACTAAGAGGGGAATTTGCCCAAATCAACTTAATTATAACTTTAATGGCCATCTTCTGTGTTTTTTTTTCTCCTGGTAGAGAAAGTCCATTTATTTGGACCAGTATCATTAAGTTTCTATGGATTTTGTCTGTTGCCTTTACAAGGCGAACAAAAGATAGAGGGTGGTAAAAGATAGGTTTAACATCTGGCACACTGGAATTTAGTGAAACAATTTTTGTATCTCAGATATCCCTGTTCTCAATGGGTCAATCAATGAGGTCAACATCCAGCAGCTCCATCAAGAGCAGCTGAAGGATACTTTCCTTCCAAGACTTTCCATAGTCCCTTTCTGTTTCTCTTTTCCAAAACTGTTTATAACCTCCAGGGAGCATATACTTTGCTCTTGAATCAATTAATTGTGAAGCTTTCTGTTTCTATGTGGCTTAGGGATTCTATCATGGACCACAACACAAAAATTATAACATTAGGTAAGAAGTAAATGCTTACCAGTGTCCATAACCTATATGCTGCCAAATCAATGCAGGAGATTGAACTGTTCCATATCTATCCTCTTCAGCCATATTCAAATCATAAACAGAATAGATAAGTTGCTCACTTCTTACTGGACCATAGTATGACCAGCTTTTTTCACCAGCTTTCTTCCAAACAACTCTGAAACATAGCACAACATGCATAAAAATTATTACTATATGAAAAAATACTGAAACTAAACAAAATCAAGAGTTCTAAATCATGTTGGCTAAAATTTGTGAAACATTTCATCACCTACAAGTGGTTTTTTGAGCCATTGAAGTCCTTCAGTGGACTCAGAGACTGTCTTCAGAAAGCATCACCACAGGCTTCTGAATTCCAAAAGAGTCTTGTTGATTTAGTTGGTTGACTACTTTACAGCTTTTGAAAATATCACTGCATATCCATCTACATCCTTCGAAACTGAAATGCTTTGAATGTGAAATCCCTTCGTATCCCGACACTCAGAGAGTTCATCAGTGAGTAGATTATTTTCTCTTTCTCCTTGGAAGGATTAAATAAGGACTCTGACAAAATATGTAAAGTGTAAAAATATAATTTATAAATCTCATTTAATCAGGACATTTAATCAGGAATCTAAGGAAAATTAAGATGATCGTATTAAATTTTAGCCTATTACTCCAAATGAGGTATTTACATGATCCTGAATGCGAACCATCAGGTTACAAACTAAGAATCATAGAACAGATTCACAGAACCAGATGGGTGGGAAAGGACCTCTGAGATCATCAAGTCCAACCCTTGATCCACTATCACCACAGTTACTAGACTATAGCACTAAGTGCCACATCCAGCCTCTTCTTAAACACCTCCAGGGGTAGAGAATCCACCACCTCCCTGGGCAGCCCATTCCAATGCCTGATTACAACACTCAACAAATTAATTTAAAGACCCTTACATATTCATCAGGACTGTAAAACCTTGAGACATAAATTTTGAGTTCATAAAGTTTTTATCAACTGCACTGCTTTCCTTAGATGTGTAAGGGAAAGAATAACTAGAGAAAGCTGTTAAGTCATCTTGAACACACAGAAGCAAACAACTTTCATTAGGCATTTATTAGTATATTACTGAACTTCAGTATGAAGCGTTCCTCAACTTTTGCCCCTTTCCACAGATACATAAGGGATTTATCATCCATGAAAGTTTGATTTCCAATTGCACCATTTCTATTTTGTACATGAAAACAAGAACCTGTAGAAATCACTAGCAATTTATTAAAGCAAGACTGGAAAACTAATACTTATCCTTCCTAGGTCATATATTTTTGTTGTTTAAATGATCACATAAATGTTTTTTCAAAATAAAACCACCGTAATTGGTAGACTTCAAGGAAAACTTTTCAGCATGTCTCAGTGAATGGGTTTTCACCTTCAGTGAGCACCCTAAATTCTACGGTTTTGTCTGCCTCATTCAGAGCTGGGATTTGAACCAAAGGGAGATATGAATAGTTTAGGGAATACAGGGGTTCAAATCCTTTCAGCACGGGAGGGAATTTCATGCAGACTCAATACTGCTTGGCGAGAAGAAAAAGATTTCTCAAAAGTTCTGTGCATCTAACCCAAATTTTTTGTTTTGTCTAGTAAAAAATATAATGAGTTTGGGATACACTTGATATTTATTTTGAGATACACCTGATATCGATTTTGAGATAATCAAAGCCACATTTTTAAAGACTTTAATATTTATCAACAAGAAAGGAGTGTGAGGAAGAAAAAGAAAAAAGTTTAACAGTTCCATGTATAATAAGTAGAATAGGAAAAAACAGGCATTTCTCTTTTTTTCATTATATTGGATATAAGTATATGGTTTTGAACTTTATTGTTTCTTTAAAACTGGACAACGTGGTCACCAGAGCTTGTAGGAAATGGAAACTGCACTTGCACAGAGACAGCTGAAGGCTGTATGTCACAGCACTGCCGCAGTTCTGACTTGCAGCAGACTTTTTGGTTTCTTAGGCAAAGCAGTATAAACAAATACATAACTGCTAGCAGTTTCCATTAGGATTACAGAAGTATTGGGTTGTCATCTTAGATTTTTCAGTGAAATTAATCATCTGAAGCCTCAACAGTGATTTTGATTGGCCAATTCAACCAAGGTAACAAATGCATCCAAGGACATTTCTGTCTAGTCACAATCACCTTAAAGCTGAGGGTCGCTGACTGAAGGAGTAAAAAAAGCAGATAAAGAAAGAAAGTGTGCTGGAGGACAGGACAGAAATGGAGAACCTTGACATATTTGCAACTGGATGATCATAAATTTGGGGGGAAAAGGCTGTGACTGCACTTACCCTGCCTTTCTACCACAGAAGAGAAAAAACTTTATGCAGAAATCATTTGCATATGACAGGTTTAAAGTCTCTCAGTTCCCTTAAAATCTTAGGTAAAAGACAAATTTGTTCCGTTAGCTTGGTACAAACCTGTATTTAAACCAATTTAGGAATTCTTAGTTTTGATCCTTAACCTTATCTAAATTTTATATAGTGTCCACAATTATAATCTTTAAACGTTTACACATTTTTGTTCTCTGTGGAAGTGTTCCAGACTTTAGTATTATTGAAGACCCCAGACCTAATGTACCAATATTATTTTGCATCAGAACGTTCCTCCATCAAGTAACATTTCGAAATTTTCTGCTGTTCTAGAGGCAGAGCGGGTGAATCATATGCCTTGGGGAAATGCTAAATAAAACCCTACACTACATGCTAATCTCACCCACTCTAGCAGACACCTCAAAAAAATTTATGTCGATACAGATAAGATGGGAACTGACAGAAAAGACTGCACATTAAAAGTGATATGATCTGTAAGAAAAATCTTTTAACCTCTAAACTACGGAAAGAACATGGCAATGCAGTGAATAACTGCACTTCAAGTTCAGCTCTTAATCTCCTATTTATGAACTGAGACTTAATTTAAAGTGCTCATTTGTGTAATTTGCTGTGAATGACTCTTTCTACTAAAAAATTCCCAATTCACAATTTGACTGTTCCAAAGAATCACTTGGAGTAATAGCCTAAGACATATAAAGGCAGTTCAGTGTATCACTTGAGTGCATTTTACAGGATGAAGCATTGGTACACACAAAACCAAAAATAACATGAGGCGATAATTTTTAGCTATACATGAGAGTACGAAATTGTTCCATCACAGCTCACAGAAAAAAATGTGGTAAACACAATGGAAAGCGAGCACAATATACTTGTTTCTGGATTGTCGTGCAGTTCTTCACCCACTGTGATTAGTGGAGGGTTTTGCTAGCAAAGCATTTAACAAGAGGGGCTTGGCTGAAGAGCAGAAGACAGAAGGAAGAGCTGCAGACAACCAGATGAGTCCACTTCTTTGTTCTTAAATTTTCCTAGAAGGAGCAGGTGGGAGTTTTACAACACTGACTTAAAATATGAAGGAATACTACCAACATTTCAAAGCAAATCCTTAAAGGTTTATAAACTGGTTTATGCCACAAGACAGTTAGTGTGTGTGATACACTTGCAGAGTAAGCCCCTGTGATGCTGACTTCACATCTTTGGTTTATTTAAGAAGTTTCCTGAAAGAAGAATACACAACATTTGGTGCCCAGGCGCTCCTTTCATCAGCTTCTGTTTGCGAGGGAAAGTATGCTTTTGTACTCTAGTGCCATGGTCCTGGTTGCTACTGGAATGGCATCATTAGCTGAAAAAACCCTCTCTGATCAGAGGAATTTCTGAACGCCTTTTAGGGTTGATTCCCCTTTGAAGGAGCTATGGCAGTTTACAACAGCTCATGATCTCACTCTGAGGCTCAGCAGATTTCTTTTGTCCTAATCTCTCCTTCATTTTGAGGGGCAAGAGGGTGATTAAGTTTTATTAATGCAGGTTTCTATGTTAATGTGAATTTGGAAACACTTCAAAGAATAAACTAAGGTACAAAGTAGACTGAAAATGGTCTTTGCTTATCTGATCTGAATACAGAAGAAACTAACACAAGACAGGAAAAAAAAAACAGCGTAAAAACTTATTCAATTAAAATTTTTTGATTCATACCTATTTTTAAAACCTGGTGAAAATTTGATCCATTAGGAGCAATGTAGATTGGCTAAAAAATAGACCATTGCAAAATCAGTTAAATTACACATCAAGCAAAAGTAAATGTGTCTAAAGATTTTATCTGAAGACTTCTAAAATTTTGGAAAGTTTATGAAAGTGAAAAATAGTTTTCAGCATATTCTCCCAGACTTATGAGAGGAAAAACCAGCATGCTAACTTATTTCTCTAGTGCTTTTCATGCTATGAAAAGCTGTACAGTGAAGAGGGCACGTAATTTTTTCTGTATAGTTATACCAGTTCAAGTTACTGGAAGGGTTAAGAAAAAAAAGGAAGGCAAAGAGTGCCTATCCACTGACAGCTGGGCTCTCCCTTGATTGTTCTGTTCAGGAAGAGCAAAAGAGACACAGAGCTTTCATAAGCCTATTTCGCTTTGACTATCTGACTCCTCTTGTTCCAAAACGTACCAACATACAGCCCCCTCCAGTTGTTAACATTTTGAATATTAAAAATATTAACATTTCCTTTGATCTGCATCCGTCTCACGTATGCAGACTCCAAAGGTCACCAGTCAGTGATTGACCCTCTTTGGGTGTTGTATGGTGCCTAGCAAAAGCAAGCCCAAATCCTGACTATCCTTTTGGGTGCATCTACAAGCACCAAGCAGAGACACTCAGGCTGAACAAAGATGGTTCAAGGCTTCTTGTGAACACTGGTAAAGCCAAATTTTCTCTGGTCCACAATGAGTGAGCCGCATATTTCAAAGTTTTCCAGTTTTCAAAGCAATGAACTTGCCAAGGCCCAGACAACAGCATTAACCAGCAGCTGTGATGAGACCATAATAACTGTGGAATGTTTTTCATCGTTGCTGTTGAGGGAAGATAAATTACTGGCATCTGTATGGAACTTACTCTGGAGCACTGCTGATGTTGTGGAGGTAGTTGAAAGGGATGTTGGTCTTCAGAGAGATCACCAAGCCTATTGCCTACAAACTCTATTTTTCCTACTCCGGCACTTCCAACAAGCAAGACTGGTTTGCCTTTTGTTATGAGTAAATCAATACAATATTGGAGATGTGCAGTCTCAGATGTGTGAACAAAGATCGCCTAAAATTGAAAAGGAAAAAAAAAAAAAACCATCAAGCGCAAATCACCATTTAGTTTTAAAAGCAAACAGTAATTTCTCTCTCTCTCTCTGGCTAGAACTGAATTCTAAAACATGATGAAACAGAATAAACCATTCTCCATTCTCAGACACAGCTACTACAAAAAACTGTTTTACTGGATTTCTTTTACACAGTATTTCTGCTTAAATTTTTTTATTCAATTTCTTCTAGTAGGAAGCTTTTGAAATCTGGTTGTAGCTGAAATGTATTGGTTCCATCTCAGCCTTTACAGAATGCCAGTCTCCCTATAACCAGTACAGAAGAAAAGGTTGGTACAAGACGTAGTTGGCTTAATTTCTCAATTATTCCCATTTAATGTTTCTCCTAGCTTTCACCATACATAGAGTTGTTTGGGCAAATAGTTGGCAATAAATTGCTTTACCTACAGTGAGCACCTAAAATCTTCACTAGCTGATAAATTTTTCTTTTCCAAGCTCTGTGTTTTCCTACCAAATATTAATCCTCAAAGAGAACTTGTTACAGCAGAGTTGATAATGGATAATGTTTTCTGATCATCAGCTCCATGTTTCTATGTCCATAGATTTCTAATCCTCGCCCCCTGAAAATTCATACTCATTCAAGCATTAAAAAGACCTACAGGGTAATGCAATTAAAACACCATGAAACACCTGAGAACACACAGAACGCTTGTTCTGCATATCCTGTACAGAACACACTGACAAAAGAGCAAAAATAACCAAACCTTCAAATTGAGGCAATTACAACTAACAGCTCATGCTTCCTATTTCTCCACTGACATGTATACAGCATACTATCATAACTTCTACAAGTTGTGTTCCACAAATATAACTCAAACTCTGGAAGTTGTTCGAGAGCATAGTGGAAAGATGATAAAGTGATTTTCTTGCCCTAGATCTCATACACTTCTTGAAGTGAAGCCAATTTAGCTGGCAAAGAATTACCTGTGCATAGAGCTGAAAATAGAAAAAAATATTAAGACTTCAATTTGTGGTGTACAATTGCCGTAGGCATTATTTTCAATGGTTAAATGGACTTGGAGCCTGAATTATTCTGTCTATGGGAAAAAAGTATAAACCAGTAAGAAGTTCAACATGGTATGTCTTCAGGAGAGCTTAAAAAAAAAAATCAACAAAAGCATCGCTTTATTGTTAATTCTCATCATTCAACTAAAGGCATGTGGCCCAAATAGCAGTGATTTATCCAAACACATCTAGTGAGCACTACTTTCAGGACATCTGAGTCGATGTCAGAAACTGTGACAAGACTCTGAAGCATTCCTGAGTTTAGCAATGCTCATTGTGTGGTCACTGGTGTGCACTGTACCTGTAGGAGTGCATTTGGATACACATTGGAACTCAGGACCTTATGCACCCAGGGCAGGAACTTCCTCATCTCTGGATCAAGGTAATAATCAAATTTCAACTTTCAACTCCTTAAGCTATCAGCAGCTGAATTCAGCCTGGTGGTTTGAAAACATTTATTGTTACACTATTCATGTCTAGTCATTCATGTGAACCACATATGAAAAACAGACTTACAAAAAAAACCCTATTTGTAAATGTGTGTACATGTAGACTAAGAACATCAAAGCAATATCATAGTGCTCCTGCTGTTTAAGGGGCTAAAGACAGGCCACTTTGTGATGACATCCTGGATTGAGTTGAGTGGTTGAGCTGGTGTTTGGCTGTTCACAAAGGCTAACTCTTCACACATCTAGACTAAATATTTTATTTCCTAAAACTTCTAAATTCAGTTTAAACGTACATGTATGTACACATGTGAGACCACAGAGATGACCTTCCTAAGTATGGCTACAGAACAGCAACTCTCTGAAGTCTGATAGGAAAACAGATATTAATATGACCAAAAAGATCTTTCCATTCTCCTGGACTATGTTGTTTCTGATTCATTAGCTTATGCAAGGTGCTCCTTTACCTATGGTTAATGCATACATCAATTTGTTCCTTCACATCGGCTTCATCTACTTTAAACATCAGTAAAGTCATCTGCATTTTTTAGTCTTTAACAGGCAAGTTTGACTAGATACTTCTCAAGTAATCGAGTAAACAAAACACCGCCAAGCAATTTTCAGAGTTTTAGAATTTTCCTTTTCAAACTTTTGTAGCATCACAACAAAAAAAATCCCACTAAGAGGTATGCACTATAATGCCTTGTTTATATCTACATTTCTCAGTATAAATCAGCTAAAAGCAGAGGAGGCAAAATCTCTCTCAGTGTCAATGGAAATAATCAGAAAATGATTCAGAGCAGAAACCTAAACTTAGGGTCTAAAATTTCTCTTGAAAAAGCCACACTGTTAGGTTATGTGGCTTTAGCCACACTAAACTTAGGTTATGTGGCTTGCCCAAACAGGGACCTTACTGAGTAACTGAGTAACCATAGACCATGTTCCTAACAGAAGAAAGTTGAAGAGAATGGGTTAATCTCCAATCCCTTTCCTAAGGTTGTGATCAGATTTCATTATGCTACATCATTTCAGACAGCCCACAAAATTGGTTTAGCTGTGTAATTAGTAAGAAAGGAATAAAGAGACTCGATGCTACGGTTTTTAAACTGACTTATTTAGATTTCCCAGCACTAGCCTTTTGCAGTACAGTGATGCAAGGACTTCAGTCATGGAGTCATAAATATATTTTACTGAGAGGCTTTCTGAATACCAGTTTCAATAATCCTATGATTGACATCTTGAATTACACCAGCTCATACTCTAGGAGGCACAGTCACCCTTACAATATATATAGGCTACTTTAAGTATTCTTGTGGTACCAAATAAGCAAGACATATTGTTAATTAGGTGCTAAAATATTACTTAGCAATAGTGAAAATCAAAGAAATTATAAGAATGAAAGAAAAGAATGCATGCTATCTCCAGAAAAATAAAGGAAGAATAAAATGGGAAAATAGGTAGAGGGGAAGCCACTGTAATTGTTTCTCAATTGCTCACCTTATTAACATCCATAATAGTGTTGAGTGACTCAGTCCACGTAGGATCTACACCTCTATTTAAAACTAACCTTTTTGGCCCCTCATGGGTAATACTGGCTTGCTCTCTCAGAAGAGATGACAGGAGACCTGCAGATTACATTTCAACAGAACCTTTAGTGCTTAAGTAAGAATATGGCACTGCAATTAAAATTTCAGAAGACTTGATGTATCACTGAAACATGAAGCTTTTGTAGCATCAAAACCATGCTTTTTCCTTTGCTTGTTTATTAGATGGTTATGCAATGTAACAAAAAAAAATCAGAGAACACTTGATGTAACAAAATTACCGCATTTTATGCAATAATGACCTATTTCTTAATTCCAGGAGAGTCTGTCATTAGTCTTAATGAGGTGAGTGAGATATGGGAGGTTTCCCGGGTCTGTGGAGAAAATAACTCACTCTTTAAGAGAGCAGAATCAGTACTGTTCAGGCTAATACTTTTCTGTCTGCTAGCATCCTACTCTGTTTTCCAGAACCACCTGTGCTCTGTGCCCACATTTCATTTTATCAAAACTCAAAAAAATGCAAGAATTCTCTTGCTAACACCTTCTCTGAATTCTGGCATTGTCCATTTTGGATGGAGCATGATGCCTAGTAAGAACACATGTGCTACTTGCCATCTTTCCATTATCAGGTTTCATGGTGTATAAAGCCAAACAGTTAATCAGTTGTCAGAACTTCTGGCTTAAAATCATTCCAAACAGGTATTTCTTTCCAGTTCACATATGTGTAGAGCGGAAGTTTTAGCACCTGAAGAAGAGGAACAGGAAGCATGTTAGTGACACCATTTTGACACAATAGGAATTTTTTACTTTTTCCTGAACTGGATCCTTGACTACAAATCCCTGCACTCAGCCATTTATTCACCTTGTTTTACTCTTGCCTACGTGCTAATTTAGTCCCAAATTTCCATCAAGCCTAAGGATAAGAAAGGATACTCTTATTCTGAAACGGTTGTACTCTGAAGTCAATTCTAATAGAAAGTGTTAAATGGAGAAGAAAATCTATGCAGCTGTCAACAGTTAGTAGCAGAAATAGGCAAGCATTAAGTAATAGAATTATTTGTCTAGTGTTTTGGCAAGAAGTTCCTCGATGTCTGTCTAGAAACCTCATTAAAACATCCTGCTTTTTCTTCCAGAACAAAATATTACTTAGTCTATCTGTCAAATTGAATACTCATTACTTTGTGCCATGATTAACTGTCCTTTGGGACAAGCGAACAATATGTAAAATGTAGAATTTGCTTGTAACATTTGAGCTTTCTATTGCACATCATGTGACTGACTGAATGGCCCAAACAGCATGTTACTAAACTGCAGCCTAAGGCAAAGGCAACATGCAGAATGTTTTCTGAGAGTGCCAGAGCAATTTCTTTACAATGTGAGGTAGAAAACGCTGCATAGGTAGGCAGGTACTTTACTCTTTCCAGTCCCTGCATTCCCAACGTCAAACATAGTGAGGCACTGCCAGTAGCTCCCCCAGCTGAACAGCCTACCACATAGAAGGGACACACAGTGAGTGCCTTTCGTCTCCTGTTGTACTTCTTATCAGAGAGACACAATTATTCACAACAATTATCTCCCCCTCTGCATTTCTACTCCCTTTAATAGGAAAAAATGAGCTTGCACCTTCTTGGCAGATTTGCCTCAGCTGAGCTGATGTTGCATCAAACAAAACTGTCTCCCAGAAAATGGTAAGAGAATTGGTGCAAGGTAATGAAAGCAGTTACCTCAACAAGTGAGAACAAATCCTATTCTGCTAGACAGGCATACAGTCCAGTAAGACTGCCAACTCAGAGATACAGAACAGTTACTCACAATATTACAATTTTGCCACTGCTTTAGCAGAGTGAATTCCATACTCAGAACAGTTGTACAGCTATAATTCAAGTTGTACAGCAAAATACAAGGTCAGTCTACTAAGGTAATACATTGCTTCCAAAGAAATACTTCTATGACTCACAGAATGGAAATAGCTTGGTTGCTTATGGATTTCTGCCTTAGTGAAGAGCATTTACACTGATTTTCTAAAGTCTAACAGGAACAAGTTCATGTTCCTCAGCACTTAGCTTCTGTTTCACCTAGCTAGTGGGACACAAAATACTCTACAGAAAGCTGACTGTAAAGGTCACAATACCCCAAAGTATAGTTTTTTTGTCTTTCACCCTTCTGTCAGGATAATGGAAAAAGATAGACAAGAGCATAAAATCCTTTATAAATCCTGAGATCAGCCACAGTTAACCAGCCTGGTTATACCTGTTTCCAACATACCCTAATAAAGGTAAGTAGTGTGCTATCACATACAATACATGTGGATGTTCCTTGAAGAAAGATGGGAACATATGCTCTTAGTAGTCCAGATAAGCACTTTTATTTGGTCAGTATACTAACCAGTGTTTCTAAGTTTCACTTTTCCCCCTTGTCTGTAATTCAAACTAAAATTAGTACTTAAATTTAACTTACAGGTAACTCCTTCTCAGGGGTATACATGCATACATAGAGGTACACGCATGTTTTTAATGTGTGTAGCACAATGTGCATTATATTAAACATAAATACCCGGGCACACAAAAGTCACATGTAGCCATGCACATTCCAAATCCACACCTTCTTATTTATATGTTTTTGCTCCTTCACTCTTCTTACCTCACTATAAATAATTAACCAACAATGAATTTTCTACCAAGTACAAATGCTTGGTACTGAGCACAAACAAACTTGTTTGTCCCTGTAGATTGTAACTATAAACAGCTTTTTTTGAACAGGATATGTTTTCTTACAGGTATATTTATCATACGGAGGAGCATTACTGCCATGACAAAATGCCTTTGAAATATTAAGTCATTGAGGGACACCTTATCAATACTATAATATACTCAAAAATAACCTTCATTTGCAATTGCAAATCCATTTGCAATTATTTTGATTGAAACTCTTAAGGGGAGTAATTAAAAGCAATGAATTATTTTACTTTGAGAATAAAGCTCTCTTCAGGCTTCAAATGAAGCTTCAGGGTAGATTGTTTACCCATCTGTTCAAACTGTAGGTTCCTCTTCCTAGGAACATCCAGAGCTGGAAACAGGTCACTGATCATGCCTGTGAAAATTGGGATATCATCTGTCACTATTTTAGGGCAATTAAAGTCTCTTTAGATTCATATAAGCACCTGGAGAAGGACAGTAAATAACATATCACAGAAGCATTAAATAATTCTCTTTTTATGATTCTGTTTTTATTCAAAGCAAAACATCAGAAATAGCTCCTACACTTAGATGTTTTTAAGCAAAGATTTTAGTTGATCCTCAGGTCTGTTTCTTGTCTCCTTGTTCCAAGGGCCCAGCAATTACCAAAACTGACTTGATAGCCTGAAGTCCCCAGTCGTAACAATGCTATGAAAATATTTTAACTAGTCATGTTAGCACAGGAAATAAAACTAAGTGGGTTTTATGAAGAAAACAATTGATTTACACACAGAGCAAAATTACACATTTTTATTCACTTGTAGCCTTGCAGTGGCTTTAGGGTAGTGTTAGAGTTCTACTAAAGAAAAAAAGACAAAAAAAGGGTGAAATGTATATCTATTTAATCTTCAGTATTCCACCACTTTGTTCCTTATTCTTAAATGGCAATATTTGCATCATCAAGTATTATTGTATTCATTCAACTTTACCTTCATGATGAAATAAGGAATGCAAAAAACGGCTTCCAAACTTCAATTTGACCTGATAGCAATGCTTTTTTGTTTCTGAAAGGTGAGACTGGGCAGACTATCAACACATTTGCACCAGCTCCATCACCAAAGTTAAACATGTAGATACTCAGTCTAGAGAGAAAGTGTAAAAACATTTGGCAAGTGAAGGGCAGAGAACAAGCCTGTATCCTTCTCTAAGTCCTGCCAGCGGGAAGGTAGATACCCAGTGCAAAAGGCACAACTTTGTCCACGACACATATACATACTCTTTTTCATTTTTTCAGGGCTGTGTAATACTTACCTCTCTCCCTCTCATTCCAAGGTAATGTAGAAGCAGAAAGAGAAGGACTTCAAAACAATTTGAACAGCACCTTGACTGACTGGAGCATGCTAATATCCAGTTTTGAAGAGGTCTACTATGAAGTTACAAGTCTCTAAATTTAAGGTTACAGCAACACCTTTAGGTGTTCTTACAGCTCATGTAGAGATCCCAGATGGCTAATTTTGGTATAGCCAGCAGTGGGACCAGCTACCATAAGAGCATCTGGCTAAGTATGCGGATAATCACTCCTCTCTAAATTCTGTGTTGCTGTGGCTACTATCTCCTTATGTCAGCTTGCATCACAATATTCATGTTGGTCAACAGTTTCCTTGGTGTGTGCACACTACGTTTTCCTCAATCTGAAAAATCTGTCTGGGGTTGCAACCATCCTGCTGTCATCACCCAAATTGGCTACCAGTTGGGTAAGGTTTGAGAACATATGCTGCAAACCACACCTAGGAATTCAGTATAAATACAGCCTAGTTAGTATTATCACACCTAAACACAATAACAAAAAAAACCCCCAAAACCAAAACAAAAAAAAAAAAAATCCGAAAACTCAAACCAAAACCAGAAACAAATTCACAATTGAAAAATATACCATTTTTAACTCTATAAGTGTGAATCAAATGCAGTTAATATGTCACAAATGATAAAAACTAAAAAGTAATTTTCCAATTCATGACAGTTCACAAGCAGTAAGAAAAAATTTTTTCATAAGGTAACAAAGATGCCAATTATCTTCATTGAATATGAGTCTCCACATTTTAGAAATGGTACACCTAGGCAAAGAAGTTAAACATACAGCTGATAATGAAACTAGGAAATTTAAGAAATTAGGAAATACTGTGCTTAATAAGCTTTTGGTTAGATCAAGGTAAATTTGAGGTTTTTTGTTAGTTTGCTTTCTCATGGGTTATTGAAATGCAGGCTATGTATCTTAAAAGCAGCCTGGTGTGTGGATTGTCCAGTACACAAAGACTTTAAGACATACAGGCTATTTGCCATGGTATGACAGGACCAGAAATCCCTTCCTTCACTGCATATGCACTAAAAGCCCTGAACCCTGTTCTGTAGGAATTTTCATGGGCTAGGATCTTAGTGTCCCAGAGGAATATTTGAAGTTCTATAAGTTCCCATAGTAGGCCAATATTCTCAGAACTCTCGGAACTGGTGTATATTTTTCTTGGTAGCCCAGAATTTTTGTCGAAGGAATTTGATTTCTTCCATTTCCATTAAAAGCAAACAAACAAGAGCGTTCTAGCTTTTGCTTCAAACATTATTGTTAATACTATGATTGATATTGAACTGGCAAAGAATGGTATAAATTACTTTTCTCAATTCATAAAGTGCCTCCAGGACAAAGTAATCATTAGACTTGAGGCATCCTTGTTCTACTGAAGCAAACAATATTAATTATCTTAAGATACGCATGGCTTAATTTCATTATCTCTAGAAAATGGCAAGAATGTGTCAGGAAATCATCTGGATATTTAGAGGTAATTTCAAAATTATGCAGGCATGAAAATAAAGTTGCTTTTGATTTCATCACGGCCTTGCCTGCTATTTGTGTTTATAGCTTAATGTTTAAGGGTTGTCTAAGATATTCTTACACTGATAAAACTGAATATTAAGAATGTCTTGGGAAAAATTATATTGTTCAAAATGACTAAAACAGTATACATACCAGGAAGAAATGATATCATTTTTATATTTTAGGTTTTAGGATAATATTTCTGAATATGAACTCTTTCTATTATAATAATTAAATTATTTAGAAGTGCTACCCCCCACTTCCCTTTCCATTTTTCAAACAGTCTTCCACTGTATTTACTGGGAAAAGTTTAGAGAAGTGTTCATCCAACTAGAATACGCTATCTGCTTTTCAGAATAATTCCTAATCTGCTATTCTCTTCTTCAAATGATAAAGTTGTCTTTCTAATGTGGATAGGAAACTGCAGCACGCTGGAGTCAGTCATCCCAGGTATGAAGTGATGATACACAATTATTTAGTGCAAAATTAACACATTAAAATATCACAAGAGCAGAGGAAAGGCACTTTCTTTCAAATTCATATCTGATAATTTATTAAGGATGGACATGTGATTTAAAATGTCTTCAAAATAAAAAATAAGACTATATACATAAATCTCTCCTATTATTATAGATATCCACCTGCATTGGGATGGAGTATGTGTTGACATGTCCAACCCAGAAGCCCAGAGACCCTCACCTGTTCAGGGAGCAGCTTCCTGCAGAGAGGTTATAAGGTGATAAACCTCCTGGGCTAACAGATACGCATCAATAAACCCTTCAGCAACCAATGCAATTTCAGAGATCAGTTCAATGCCAGGGACAACCATGGCACAGGTTCTAGAAAAGAAAACAAACCCCATAATTCAAATACACAGACTAGTATTTAAACATAGTGAGAATAAGCCATTTAAATCAAATGTCTGATGTGTGCAAACATTTTTAAAAGTAGAGCTCAAAAGAGCCACAATTAAGAGTGTCAGTCAAAGCTTACTTCAAAGCAAGAGCAGCTAATTAGTCACTGTTGATTGTTAATATTCAATAACATTGCTGCACACAAAGGAGGCACTTGAGAAACATAGAGACAGGTACTGCTGAAACTTCGAGCAGCCACAGTCTGCAGTGGTGCCATTTGCCACTGACAACTAGAGGTCACAGCCGGCATCTGTACACGGTCTGGAAGTACAACACCCAACCATTACTAAAAATGCCATAATTTTTTAAAGCACTTTGATTATTTTGGAGGGCTTTAATGCTTTTATATGAAGTCTTGCTTGCCTTTAGAGGTTTCACAATTTCTTTTTAAAATATAACCTCCACTTCAAACTTTTAGAACAGAATCACAGACATATTAATGATACAAATGGGGGAAATCTCATTAAATCTCATTTTAAAAGTAACACAAATTAATATTGCTATTGCTAAACAATATCCTTATTTTAAAAATCACTACTTAAGTTATATGATAATGAAGAAGAAACCTTGACTTTTTTTTTTGTTTAGGCCAGCTACAAACCAGCAAATTTGTCCCTCAGAGCACTTTCTAACTCCTGCAAAACAAATATTTTTTTGATCCCTATCCCATTTGAATATGACAAAATTAAGATTGGTAATTTAAGTCAGCAGTGTATTTCTGACATAGTTTAGAAAAAGAGTAAGAACCCCTCTGCTAAACAATTTTTAAGCGAACTGTTCTCTAAGAGGCATTTCTTCATAAGCCCAATGCATTGCAGCCAATTATAAAAAATGACTTGCTCTTCTACCTACCATAATTATGACACTTTTTGCAAATAGAGTAACTGAAATATACAAGAAATATCAGGCAAACAGAATTTATTCTGTCCTGTCTCTCTTGTGGGATTTTATTAAGTGGCAAATATGTGGAGCTGATGCTTTAGCAGTTATCTTCCTGTCTTTCCTCTGCACCATACAATAGATAGGAGCTGTTAAGAGATATCAGCTACAGGGAATTCAGCTAAATTCCTGAGTCTCAATGCTGCAGTTCATATTATAATTTTGAAGACTTTTTATTTGGCTTATTTTTGTGTGTGTGTGAAAACCAAGCAAATGTGAGACTTCTGCTTTATGCAACAAGTAGATTTTGAAAATAAAACGAACAAAAAAACTCCCCACAAAACCACAAAGAAACCCCAACCAAAGCCAAAGAAAACCATAGTTGAAAGCAATGATTTGACTTCATCGTTCAGCAGAGATTTTGCTAATTAATATTATTGCATGTCCCTTACCCTTTTCTTCCCAAACAAACAAACAAAGGACAACAAAAATAACAGACAAACAACCAAATCACATGCATTCTCCATTCTCTGGTAGTCCACTGAGAGATGAAACACCTGGTAGTGACAGGGAATGAACACTCCTGCTTTCTTGTCAATACCACAACCAGCTGAATGTGGAAGATGAGGCCACCAAGACAGCTGACTCTGAATGCAGGAGGGGTGGCAGCCACACAGCACAGACACAGGGCAGGGGTCCCTGTCCTTCTGTACTATTTTGTGCAACGGTCTGAACTGAGGGGCTGCCTATTGTTGTTCTCTTGGTGCAAATCAATCCTGCTTGGCCTTGAGGGTTCCGAGTTGGCAATTAATGAGAAGGCTTGGTAATGCTACAGTCAAGTTGTGAAATATTAACAGCCGTCCTCCCACCATTTATAAGGAAGCACAATGTATCTCTGAGGGTCTCCCTCCAACTTTTGCTAAGACTCAGCTATAGCATCTTAGACACATTCTTTGCAGAGGCATAGGAATTCAAATCCTAAACTCCTCCTTGTATGCAGATATTACCTACTGCTTGCTAAAAATGAGTGTAATTTGGGCTCAAGGAACATGATGTTTGGCTGGCAAGAGGATGAGATGTGCCTGAGCAAACAGCTTTCTAACTTTAGCAGATTTTATGTCTTTCTGCAGGGAAAGCATGTAGGTCTATGGTATCAGGAATTCCATGGTTAAAGTAGAAAAAATAAAACACACCGAGATCTGGACGTACTTTAAATACAGAAGAAAATACTGCCTGTATTTGAATTTGCTCACAGAAGCAAGTGATGCTTGGTTCTATCCTATCTTTTACAAATCCAAGAGATTTACTATGCAGATAGCATGTGCATACTTGTGCCTCCCCAAACAGCCTGACAATGCCTTGCAGCTTGCCTCACTGAACTTCAGTATGTGAAGAAATGAAATAACAGAATAATTTCTTTCTCAAGTCTTGATTAAATCAGTGAAAAGTGTCAATGCAAGAGTCAGGTGACAACTTTTGCACAAGAATGCGAGTGACCATTCCTTTTTAAGCAAGGCCTGCACCATGTAGTTCAAAGGACAGCTCCAAAACTTTGTCGGAGGAGATTGGCATTGTCTTACTGCCCATCCGGCTGGAGCAATTGCTTTTTTCCAGAAACACCATTTGGATATAAACTTACTGAGCAGAGCATGCAAAATATATTCAGATCTTTCAAGTTCAAAACTTTCTTCCTTGAAACATTAGTGGTAAGATACAAAGCATAAATACATACTTTAAGAAAAAGATAATGGGCTGTCCCACAGTGTGCAAAAGCATTATGACTGTTTTTGATGTGCACTGTACTTTTCACAGCTTCTCAACAATCACACACTCAATATCTTACTAGATGAGAGTATGAAGCTTCATTTTCAGCTGGTAGTTTTGAAACATCTATGAATACTTTCATGCCTACACCCAACCAAGAATGTGATAGCTAGACAGTTTTCAAGTGGTGATTTTACTAGGTTAACTGAGCTGTGAGGACTCCTACTTACCACAAAACAGTGAATATTCTTGCACATGTTTAGGTACCTCCTATATGTTCACAGGTACCTTTAAAATTTGACATAGATTTAAAAAACAAACAAACAAACATAACCAAAACAAAACAAAAAAATCCAGCAAGGTAGACATTTAATATCCCTTTTCATTATGGTTTAGAGGCAGGCACAACATGAATACTGATCTTTTTTTAACAGAAATTTTGTAGCAAAAAGAAGATGCCCTTCATTGCAAACCAGGGCTAGGAACACTAGGTGGGATATGTTCTCTAAATGTGGACTTGAGACACTAGTATACCATAAAATCACACAATAGCATAACTGCCTGAACAGAGCTATGAGGTTTTCAGGTAGTTCTGTCTGACCTGCGCATCCGAGGATCATGGTGATAAATATTCCAACTGTGGACTTCAATATAATATTTTCACCAAGAAATACAAACCTGTTAAAAGAGAGGTAACACCAAAAAAGTGTTAGAAGAAAGATAACACTTACAAAAAGGGAAAGTTTACTAGAGCTTATCAAACAGAGGTGACCATCAGCTTTTAGTAATCTGTGGCTCCTGTAGCCAGCACTGAATTTGGAAGGAAAAGATCAGACTGCTAGAGTCACAAAGAGTGCATATTGCTGAAGCATGTCTACAGAAAGAATCATCTTTTGAAACACGCAGAATAAATGAGACTGGTAGCGATGCAGAGGGTTTGAAAAGGCCAGGAGACAGCATCGAGTAAAGAAAGCAGAAGAAGAAGATGGGACACTGGAAAACCCTGGAACCACTGAGACTTCTTGCAAAGTTAAATCGTGTCAAACTTCTCACCTGTATCTTGCCATGATCTCACATGGTGGGACTGAACAGGGCCAGAGTTTCAATAGCAAAGCTTTAATCTGAATCCTTTAGGATCAGGATTTCATTGATGTTTGTTGCTACATTTTGAAGATAAAGTTATTTTAAGGTAGTATATTACACAGGTGATTTAGTGTTTCTATCTACTCCCTCATTTACAAAGGGTTTCAGAGGAGCTCTGAAAAAAGATATGGTTCAGCATTTATAGCCTGCGAAGGACAATAAAGATGCACTGCTGAAATACTCCTTTTTCTTGTTCCTAATTGTATCATGGATAGTCTTTAATTGTACTGCCCTCACTGACTGAGCTACCAAGGTGTGACTGAATTCACCAAAGCACCTCCAAGCTCCTGTCTGGACCAAATCTTTACAGATATTCTCTATAGAATAAAATCGGAAGTGAAAGATTTAACATCTTTTTCTTGAAAGTAACAGTTTCTGATGTAACTCACGTGAAAAAGAAGCTAAACACCAATCTGCATACTGCTTAGCAGAATATCTCACCTTGTCGTTCATGTTTCCTGAACAGTTAAAGATGCCCATCATATGAAGGGCACAGCCTAAATTTTCAGTGGTCTCTGTCTTATCTGTGCCAGCTGGTTCTTCAGGAGAAACACTCACTTTCAGGCCAAGAGCTTGGGCTACAGTAATATAACACCTAAATGTAAGAAAAGTGACTATTCACATTGCAGTGAACTTCTGCAATGTCAGGAGGATTTGTTTTGTGGGTTTTTTCCCCCAAACTTTATGTTTCATGGATGATTTATCCCAAGACTTTCTCATTAAAATTGAATGTCCTGAACCACAAATGTATCTCTTCCATGTTCATATAAAATCACGGTGTGATACTACTCGGAAAATGCTTCTTTTAGAAAATTAACCACATCAGCATTTTTTAGCAAGAAGGAACATCCTATCAGTGGTCACATAGGACAGGAAACAGGAGACTGTAGTTGCTGCTTGGCCTATTTTAAAGACTTAAGTCCCAGAATTGGTCCCTCTAACTGAGGGTCATAAGCACTAAGCCAGCCATGGTGTCTGGGTGCATCTTTTTGGATCACTTATTTTAGAAAGAAATTCCATACTGGAGTAGAAATATTTCCAGGAAAAAAAAAAAAATCATTGTATGTGATGTAAAAAAAACTAACAAACTGGTTTGGGCTCTAACACAGAAACCAAAAAAAAAAAAAAATTGCTGAAAAATCCTGATTAACCTTGATAGCAATCCACTCATATTCCCCTTCAGACTAGACACTGCATACATACTTATGCAAAGATTATTTCAGTTATTTTAAATGTAACGGTCATTAATATCATACCATTACAGAAGTATGCACACCTACATGCACACACATGCTCAAAGATAATGTGTCTTAACAACCCTATACATATGAGTTAGGAAAGAGCATTGAACTTCTAAGAAACATTTAACTTGTTATTCACAGAAACACGTAAGGCAGACTTGTAAGTAGCAGTCATTACCTGTCAGTCAAAGGTGTAATAACTAGCCAAGGGGTATTTCCCAAGTGCTCATAAATGAAACTGAGCATCACTAATGCTGGCAAAACAGTGTTTCTGGACATCATCCCATCTATGGCATAGCTATGACAACCAAGTAAAAGATCTGAAACTGGTGACCTAAAAAGCCCTTGTAGAGTCATGATGCCAGGCAGGAGCTATTCAGATGGAAGAAATGCCACCCATCGGAATTCTGTCATCACTAGGTCTCACACCTCATTCCTAGCCACTTAGGACCAATAACCACTACAACCAGCTATAGAGGATTAGATGAACCTGGAGGCATTTGTGCTTTTATATAGATGCAAGTGTAATAGGAGATAATTTCAATAGAGCTATTACAGCAATACACGTTGTCACTTACTGACTAAGACCTCTCTTTACAAAAAATGCAATCTTTGCCTCGGAGCAGACATTACTTTGACCAGAATGAGTTTCATTTTACTCCTCAAGCCTTGTTTCTTCTTATCCTAATGCTGTCTCAGAAAATCATTTTATTTCTGAGGCTCAGGAGGTCAGAAGGAGAATGAGAATTCTTTCCTATTTCAATCCCTATCCACTGAAATTTTTTGTCCATTCAAACAGTATATGCCAGCCACCTTAGGTTTACCTGAACAAAATTACACAGAGTGAGCACTTTGGTTTAAACATTGAAAATGTCAACTGTATGCACTTACAAAGAGTCACCACAGGAGAGGAGTGACTTGCTCTAGAAATGCATGCGTGTCTCTAAAAGGAGATCAAAACACACTGTGAATTACTGAAGGTAGAATACCTGTGCATGCAAAATGTAGATGATTCAAACTCACACCTTCTGAGCTCAAAGGCTTGCTAATACTTCTCTGGCATGAACATCTACAGTGACAATGGACATGTTTTTTGATGATCAACCAATAAAAGTTCTCAAAGCATCATGGTAACAAGAGCATTTCTCCAAGTGACCTGAAAGGATCTAGGTAACCATCTAAAACCTCAGATGAACCCTCAGTAACTCTACCATTATTGATACTAGAAATTAGTTCTGCCTACATTACGAACTAGATCACCATAAAAACTGGCTTGTATGTACAAACTTGCTGGTATTAGACTTGAGATGCCAGAAGAAATCCTGTTAAAACAGACATTTGAATCACCTCTAAAACAATGACAATCCAGGTGAGCACAAATACTGCAAATGGTCAACCAGGCAGGGTAGGAGGAATGGATGGATAAGATAATGTGCATGAAGTTGAATTGTGAATTCTGTGGTTATAATCTTCATAGAAATATCCACCAGACTCTGCGAAAATTGTACTAATTGCATGAGAACATTTGTTGGCAAACTAAAAATAGCCCTTATGAAAGATCAGTGACTTAAAATCAGATTTTAAAAATAGGCAATGCAATATGGGGATGATCACAAAATACGACATAAATTACTATACGGGGTTACATAGTAGGAAGTGACTATGGAATTATTCAGATTTCATATTATTAAGAGAAAAAAACCTCCATACACAGCTACCGCAAGTCATTCTAAGGATGAAAATACAGCTAATTTCAATAGAAAGTTATAATATCTTTGCTATTACAGGCAAATCTTAAACCAACTCTGTCAGATATCCACCACCCCTTTAAAGTCTCTTTCTTATTTTGCATTTCCCCTCAGCAGATATTCTATGTTGAAAAAACAAAACCAAAACTACTGAAAGTTTTTGCAAAGAGAAAGCGTACTCACAACAGGACAGAAACATTCAGGAGAAGTTGAAACTAAACAAGTGCAAAGCAAAAATGAAATGGCAGAAGCCACCCTTCTGAAATGGGACTAAAACTAATCCTAGAAGTAAACTGGTTGGTTTGACAAAAACAAACTCAAAAATTTTGGCTTCTTTACACAAATATATGGGCTTAGTCTTGTATGCATACTGGCTGCATACTCTGTTCTTAGCACAGTATAATGATTGATGTTGGGCAATATCGTTGCCTTTACCTTTCATCTCAGTTTGGAATAATCCCACAAAAGATGTGGGATAATTAATTAAAATGGGATAAAAATGACCTTGAGGCAACAGAATTGGAAGCAAAAGCCGTGTTTCTTTATCCAGTAGATGCAAATAGAGGTTTATTTACTATAGTATTCAAATTTTCCAATATGCTACTCATATCTTTTTACGGGACCATTTTCACACTGTAGTTATTTTCTTTGAATTAAACAAAAGGAAAATATCCATTCCTGCTTCTTGTGGCAATCCTTTGGGGCTGATGCCAAGCCCTTGTCCAGCCTACCAAATGCTACTCCTACATCTGAAACCCAACAGATTTGTAAAGCAGTGAGTTTAGTCTGGGCTGGGTAGTAAAAAACTTACTCTTCTCTCTGTTCCTCTTCATAGGCCATTATTGCCTCCATGATGCAGAGACTTATTTGTTTGTGTACAGTTTCCTGAAGGTGTTGCAACCAAGACTCTACCTTTGAAGCAAAAAACCCAAGCACATGCATAAATTTATGCACATAAAATAAATGGTACATTTTATACCAAAAATAAAGGAAGTTCATCTCATTAATATTTACAAAGGATTTTCTTTACATTAAAAGGTTTTACCAACTTGAAACGAAAGTGGATTTTTTCCCTCCATTTTCTCTGTTACTGCCTCTTCATTAGGATTTAGATGAGATGACAGACATTGCTTTGTTTTACATATCCGCTTGACTGGAACACCCAGACGTAATGTCTTAGAGTTCCAAATATGAAAGTCTGAAGTTTTTGTGTTCACAGACATAGAGTGAGCCCAGACAATAGCCTTTCCTATGTCTCTATGTACTCAAATGTAGCTGTATCTTGGAGAAACTATCTCTAAGAGGCAAGCTGCATATATTTGTCCATTCAGTCTGGGGCCTCCCTGTTGAGACAATCAATCATTAGAACCACAAGCAACATTGATTTTATGCAATGTGAATGCTTATGCATTCAGCACTGTTCTGAGAACAATAAGTTATTGTCTCAGAAGTTGCTGATCCGTTCTCTCTGACCTACCACTACACAGTTAGCACAAATACTGGCTGGCCAATTAGCAAATATAACGCTCAAAACCAGCTGAAACCCTGTTCAGATGACAGGGGACGTGTGAGAGCACTGGAGGTCTAGACAGGTATGTGCTAAAGCATGAGAGGAGAGGATCTGAAACTACATAAAAAAAGATGAAATGAAAAGGGCAGAAGAGAGGAAGTATGAGAAATGAAACATTTAACCATAATCTTGATCAGTTCGGTGACTTTTAGTACTTTTTTTTTTTCTTTTTCATTGCTCCTCAACAGTAAACTCTCTATACTTCTTTTAAAAAGCACCTTATGTACAAGAGGCAGATAGACATTTCTTAAAATTATTACTAAATTACACAGCTTTGGGTAACAAAATGTTCTGGTTTTATTATTATTTGTTTATTTACCATTACTTTTTCAAAATTTACATTTTTAAAAGTAGCATCTCAAAGATGGTAAAATCCATGAAGGAGGTTTCACATAATTCACAGTATCTGGCTATTGGATCCACATTTGTCATGAAATAGCACACACTCCTTTTCTCTGCCCAAGGGCAGCATTTATAGATTCCTCTGTATTCTCTTGAAATTTATGATCAGCAACTCTGTCAAAAAGTATTGTAAGATGATGAGCTACCTCCACCCAAAAATAGCAGAAGTATAAGGAAACAATTTACCTTAGGTTTGTATCAATCACACTAATGCATACTTCTGTTAAAGTGGATGACTATCTGACTGTTGCATGATTACTACACACAAGGTTTTTATGGGAAAAGCTGGGGCAAAATGGTCACAGGTAAATCAGTGAATGGAGTTAATCACACTACTCTTCTGACTTTCAGTTGTCAGAAGAGTCTGAAGGACAAAGACAGCTCAATATAAAACTGAGAAGCCTTGAAATTGTTATTAATTATGGCTAGTGCTTATATCACAAATTACCTTTTGAGGTCTAAATGCCTTGTGTAACTAGATACCTATCCAAAGGCTGTAGACTTTGAAGATCAATGTCTACACATCAGCATACTCTATGCCTGACAACTAGAATGCAAGGTTTGTTTGGTTGCTTTTATATGTGGATGAAACAAATCACTGAGATTTTGTTACATGAAGAATCTATGAGAGTCTATCATCATGTTTGAAAAGACTCCATGTTCGAGCCTCACAAGTCCTTCATCCTCTTGGAAAGTATCAGTTTTTCTGTCATATGTCACAGCCCTTCAAAAAGGCTTAGCCTGGGGCACACTAAAAACTCTAGCACGAGAATTGATGGCTGTGGCTGGCTACTAACCGAGGCCAGGAGTATAACCTGGCATGTAGATAACACAGTATGAGGCTCCTGAAATACATCAAAGTGCCTGTGCTTTTATATAAATTGCTCTCAAAGCGCCACAAAATGTAGCAGATTATTGTTCAAGGGAGGAACACAGAAGGATGGTTACAAAAACATTCCTCGTACAATAGTCAGCAGCTCAGTTAGACACCATAGATCTTTCAGTCTTACTTATCATCACTACACATAGTATGCCTGAAATTTGATCAATCTGTGCTAGAAGGAGAAGAGATTTGATGATCTCACTGACCTTTTCCATTTCTAATTCTTGCAAACCTACAATCCAAAAATCCAAATCAATGCAACTTTCACCGGCTAAATTTCCAGCAAAGACAGCCCAGGACATGTAAAATGCCTCTCATCTCTCCTTGTTGAATACTTTCTACTTGTCCTAGCTGGGGGAAAAAATGTTTACTACCTTCCTTAGGCAAAGTGTTCCTATTTGCAAAGTAAATTAATGCTCAGAAAAAAAAGTGCAGTTCAATGATACTATCACCTCACGCAATTAGCTGGAAAACTTGCCTTTCTGTAGACAAAATTAAGTACATTCATTCATAAAGAATGAAGTACATTCACAACGAGGCTCACCTGTTTTGGCTGTGTTCCTTTTGAAAGCATGTCTAGCAAGTCTGCTGAAAAAACAAAATAGAAGCGAGGAAAAGACGTGCTTGGTTTCTACGTACGCAGACAAAGCTTTTCCACAAAGAGAAAGTCTGAAAATATGACAGAGGTTTTAACCACACATGCCTTTAATCACCTTAAAGCCAAGAATTTCCTCACAGTAAAGGTAAAAATCAGATCAAACAGTACAATAGAACAATACCATCCACTTTTAATTTAAAATTATAACAATGAACACAGCTGTAAGGAACAGAGAAGGTGGCAAACCTTATATGTTTCCTTTCCAGAAAATGAAAGGGAACATCATCTTGTAATAATTAAGACCAAGGAACCCAAGAGAAGGGAATTCTGTCAGAAAAGTTCCTAAAAAGGTAAGTCTGGCTAGGGGCAAAATCCTCTTTGACCTTCCAAAGAGTCCAGCCTTGGCAAGTAAGGGACAAGAAAAAAATTTCGTACTCAACAGGGCAGTTATGTGCAGACAAATGAAAAGAACTCCTCAAACCAACAAAACAAAACAAAACAACAAAGACAGCAGCAGAAAAGAACCAGCTGAATGTGAGTGTAAAGTAGTCACTTTTTTCAAGATGTAAATTTTATCTTTGATGTATGAACTATTACAAACCTGAAAACACATGTTCGCATTGACACAAAAAGTAAATAAATATACTTCTTTTTTTTTGGTATATAGTAAGACATGCTGCTGTCCATGTTTTTAAACTGCAGATTTAAATGACTAGAAATATATTTAAAATTTCAAATATAGAACTTCCCTATAGAACATTATAATATATTAGCTTTTCAGAATTGCCCACGATGAGAACTTTCCCTGGCATATGTGGGTTGAATTACAGGTATACTGACAATGCAAAATCTTTACTATGCAAGGGTTCAGTGACCTTTTTTGGTCAGAATGAACACTGAAAGCACAATGTTTTCTGTCAGTTCAAATGTTAAGGTTGATTTCTGTACTTAATTTTGGACTGTAAACTTGTATTTTAACCATCATTGTCCTAAATGACATGGAGTCCAGCAGAAGAGATTTCTGCAGCTCAGAAGTTTTGCATCTCTATGTGATTCCAAGAGGTCAAAAAACTAACAATGAGTAAATAAAGAAGATATTAAAGACACATGAAGGAATGACTTCCAGAACTTTGTCTCAAATTATGTCACCAGCAACTGCCAGTCCGTGTGAGAGGAAAACAAGGAAAATAATTACTTTGATTTTAATAATTGAAATGCAAAATCCACTTTTGATATTCTCCCAAGTAAGCCTGAGACTCTCATAATAATGTTAATTCAGTGGGTTAGAAACAAGTCTGTGAAAGAAATACTCAAATTAATTGTCAGTATGGTATAATTTATGAAATATTCTGAAGAATTCAAATGCAAGATTTAAATTAATAGGAACTAATAACTCTATTAACTTTGAAGTCTGTTGATTTCATCAAATTTGTTTGTATCTTAAAGGCAGCTAGCTTCTGATGTTTTCAGAGCCAGTGAAAATACTTTCTAGAAAGACCATGTGTGTTGAACTTCCATCCAAATGAAAATGACAGAATCTCCCATGTTTATTTTGCCAACCTTTCACTTGTTCAGTGAAATATACCACATATTTACTTTTCAGAATTATTTGCAGCTGAAACTAGAAAAATAAAATAAAATATATAAAAAAAAAAGAAAAATCTGCACTAATCAAAATAATTTGTCAAACAGAGGAACTAGAGCTAGCAAGAGCTTAACAAATTCTCCTGTAACTGTTCCTGTATATCACAACATAAGACATCTTTAAGCAATGAAAATGCACAGCGTATTATTAAAGGATTTTTTAAAAAATAGAAAAAAATACTAGCTTAGAAAGCTGTGATTTTGTTTAACTCCTACATGGAGACAGGAATTTTTTAGAATACATGCAGTTATATAGCATACATGTAAATTCCCACTACTAACACATGGAGAAAATATAACTCTCTGCAATAATGATTCAGGAAAAAAGTTCTAAATAAAAGTGTATCAAGGGAGTGAATAATATTGATACACTAATGGTATTGTTATTAATTGAATCTTTACTTGATTGTTATCTAAAGTTTCAAGCAGCTGTTCATCTGACCTCAATAAAGGAGTTTATTTCCTCTGATGCTCTTCATAAGAACATTCAACGGCTGTCCATATGTGGTTGGTTTCTGCCAAAATCTGGGAAAAAAGAAGAGTAATAATAACATCTCTCTCTCTCTCTCTCTATATATATATATATCACATTTCATATTTTGAGTTGGTAACTTTAATTAAATTATTTAATTCACAGTGATGGTAAACTACACCACAAACAAGAAGTTAATTTCTCTAAGCTGTGAATTTTGATCCCTAGGTAAGTCACATGAAAATATTCACTTCTATCATTAACTGCTTGGAACAAAACCTAATCAGACAAATAGTTTGTTACATACTATTCTGCAAAACACAGAAGAAAGAAACGTGCACCTCTCTCTTTTTCAGTACTCAGCTCTTGCACAGCATTGACAACTACACTTTGGACTTCATTTTCTACTTTCATGAAGCTGGAGTCTCAGAAGATTGGGCAAGGTAGTATCTTCCCATACTAAAAGCCTGACCTTTAAAGCAAAGAGACAGCAGAGAGCAAAAGAATTCCGTGACCAAGAAAAGTCACACAGAAGCATATAACAAAGTGTTCAAACAGTATCTAACTAAAAACCACAATGAAATAAATTATATGCACTCTAGATATTGGATATACTTTCAGATTTGCACCAGAAATGTGAACTTAAATGGCGTAGGTGAAATGTTTCTTGATGTTGATACTGTGTGGGTTTTTTGTTTTGTCTTGTATTGTGATATACTGTACATCTTAACACTAAAAGGTAAATTTGTTTGCACAGCTGCATTGAATTTAATGTAAGCTACAGGCACAGTATTTGCAGACTAGAAACCTTGGGGAGTGGTAGAGGTATTTGCTGTATTTTGTTACTACTTTGTAAGATATCAATAAAAAAACCCCAATTTTTTAATCTATGATTCAAAAAGATGACAGTCAATCCTTTTTTTGTTATTTTTGTTTTAAAAAAATCACAAGATTTTTATGCTAACCCTGTATAGGACTTTCTGCAATTAAAATAATTTTAAATGTTCTTTTGTTAAAACTGTATGTGATAAATGACTGGTATATGGAAATAGAATAAAAACACTATATTACATTCACTCTCATGTGCTTTCAGCTTTATAGTTATTTTTACTTTAAAAATGAAAAAAAATTAAACATTTGGAAATCTGTCTTCAAATTTCTTTCTCAAAATGATTAAAAAAAAAATCATTCACATTTTGAAAACCAACAACTGATCCAAGTTATAGCTTAAGGAACCAAAACCACTGGGATTCTTTTTGAGAAATTGAAATTACTTTTTTTTTTGGTCCATAGAAACTTCTTTGGTTTTCCAGCTATATGATCAACAATTGGGTTAAATATTGTTTAATATTGTTAAATATTGTTAAATATTGTTGCCTCTTCTGGTACCCTTCACTTTTTTCTTTTTTTTTTTTTTTTTTTTTTTTTTTTTTTTTTTTTTTTTTTTTCTTTTCTATCTACTTTCAGGTCTAGTCTCCCTGTGAACTCATTCTATGCACCATGTCCTGGACTGCATCAAAAGCAGAGCACCCAGCAGGTTGAGAAGTGATTCTCCATCTCTTCTCTGCTCTTGTGAGACTCTTCCTGGAATGCTGTATCCTGCTCTGGTGCCCCCAACATAAGAATGATGTGCTCTTCTTGGAGCGAGTCCAGAGGAGTGACATGAAGATAATCAGAGGGCTGAAAGTGTGGAGGTTGTTCAGGCTGGACAAGAGAAGGCTCCGAGGACACCTTATAGCACCTTCCAGTGCCTAAAAAGAACCTGGAAAAAGAAAGCATTTGCAGATACATGGGAAAGTTGTAGTTAGCACGGGACTAGGGAAGATTTTATTTGGCTAATTGGTTTATGTGGCAGGTAAGTCAAAGACCAGAAATATACTTTCCAGTACGTCATTTAAAGTAATGGAACTGTATTAATAACATATTTACACAGTGATTTTATTATTCCACTTGGATCAGAGCCATTTAGTTTAACACACTTAATTATTTACTGCAGATAAAATGATACATAAATTAATACATTTGAAACCGCTGCTCAGAGGAGTAAGGGAGACTCAAATACCCACTGGAGCATGATGAACACAACATAAATGATCAGCTCACAGGCAGTGAACTGCATCTTTTGTGTTCCAGGAACTGGCATATGTGCCGCAGAGAATGATGGAAAAGCAGAAGGAGAATGCAGTTATCTCAATCCTCTCCTTGTTTTTACCACGCCTATCACAACATGACAACTCCCAGTATCAGAACTGGCTAAGCAGAGTACACAATTCTGAAGCAATTTAAGCTATCTACCATGAAGTCTGATTTTTCTCTTAAAGCACTAATAATTGGGCATGCAATTAAGCTTCTTTATTCCTGAATTAAATAAATATGTAAAGAAGAAATTTTATACCCATTAAGGTCAAGACTTTATACTCAACTACTATACTGTCTGTGAACCACAGTTATTCGTCTAGTGTCCTGCAAATAGTCTGGGAGGCCTTTGTTGTTATTTTTGGTTCATACTTCCCTTATCTCATGGGAATTGTCTTCTGCAGGGCTACTGTTAACAAAGCATTGCAAATACTTAAAGCAAAGAAAGTGTCCTCCCTTCAAAAATTAGTACCTTTCCTGCAGCTCCCAACACTCTCTATGTCTGTGAGCAGAGCAGATAGACCTCTGCAAATTCCACTTGTCTCTAAAAATAACTGTCAACAGGTGGGGTCTGTGAGATCTGTCATAAACCCCCAACCTCTTTATTCTTTCACATACTGTCTCAGCTCAGAGAAGTGACAGCATGGTTTTATCATGTACCTCCACAGGAAGTGGAAACTCATTCAAAAGAACAAAGTTTTAAAGGAAAGTCCCCAAAACAAAGCATGTTCCAGAAAATTCAGTTTGGACATGAGTAATAAATCCAATGCAACATCAAAGTGGGTGGGAAGAATGAGGAAGGGCTGGCACTGAGACAGATAAATTGCTGAAATAGACAGCTATGGAACCTGCCTTGGCAAACCTTCAGAGCTGCACATCCATCTGTTCCACATTAATCTCTCTCCACTGGGTTTTAGTCCAATCATCAATGCTGCTCTGAAACAGAAAGTACAGATAACAGCATCAACAACATTTGGTAAAGAAGAGCTTCTGGTACATAAGAGATAAATGGATGCAGGGAAAAGCCCATCACACTGTAATAGCTCCTGGACCTTAATTTTTTTCCAAACCTACACCACCACTACCTAGAAAGCACACATAATAATCTATCTTCTGAAAATTCAACCCAAAGGCCAAGCATTTTACCAGTTTCTTGCTTTCATCTGATACTATATTTCTAACCACGTCCATGAAAAGCAATTTGTTGAGGGAAACAGAACTTTACTAGACTGATTTCCCAGACAGGTCTGTACACTGAATTTTCTGGACTCCTATTTCTAACTTTGTAGGGCTTTCCAATGCACAGTCCTCAGTCCTGAAGCGGAATTTTCTGGATTTCTGAGTTTTTACTCAGTTGTTTTAACTATTCAAGCAAGTTATTGGTATTAAAAAAATCTCTAAATGAAACTAAAAAGTTTGTTTTGTTTTGAGAATCTCTTGAAATTGATTGACTTGAGAACAGACACTTTTACTCTGGGTAAACCCAGCAACTATAATTTCAAAAACAAAACCAATATTAAAATCTTCTGCATTTTAAACTAGTTTTTTAAACAAAACTATAACACTTCTAGAATCAAGTTAAAAGTATAACATTAAAATATATTCTAAATTTGTAAATACCAACACGAAAATCTTATACTGATATCAACATGCATATACCAAACTTTCTTGAGTGACTGCACTTCTTTTCAACATGGTTTCATACGCTTGTAGCCTGGAATACCTACTTCAAATAGTTTTGCAGGTAGATTCCTCCATTAGTAACACTTCTCTTTCCAGTATCTCAAGCTCTTGACTTGCCTCAAAGAGGAAAAGAGCACTCAAAATATAGTTGTAGAGTATATTGAGCTTACGTAAGCCTGTCAGCAAAATCTATAAATCCTGTATATATGGTTCAATAAGAAAAGCTGAGAGAATTATTGCAGAGGTTAAAAAGCTCTGAATTGCCTCTGAAAGCTCCCAAAAGCATACAAAGGACTTTGTATCTGAAGCATAAAAGAAAAGCTGCATAGAAAGGAGTTAGTTTATACTCTTGTGATAAATCTCTGAACCTAGTCAACCACTACTTAAAGTCGTATAAATGTTAACAAAGTCCCTTCACGATGTTTTAAAAAAGATTCACTAAATGGTCAACTTTAGGCTGCTGTAATCAAGAGCACATTATACTGACTGTTTAAAGGATCATAAGAAAGTATTCTGATTTTTTTAAAATTTTAGATAGCATATGCAACAAGAGAAACAAGAAACATGAATTTGGTGGCATTAGAATTATACCAGCTTCTGGAAAAAAATCCCCAAACCAATAAACAAAATAACCCCCCCCACAAGACAATAAAACAAAAAACCCTCTAAAACCAACAACTCCCCAAAACCCTGCCCTCCCCCCAAAAAACCTCACAAACCACAAATATTTTAATGTGTACACTGAAATATCAATGAATATCATACTGAAAGATTACAAGCAATTATGTTTTTCTGAAATTCCTCCTCACCTTACTGAGATGAGCATATGGATTTTCTACATCAAACCAAAAGGGAACTTCCATTTTAAATCTTTCTCTGAACTCCATCCGCTTCCTCGATGAAGTACAGGTAATGACACTTGTCACTAACCATGTTCTTATTTTAAAAAATGATATAAAAAAGACTGATTCAACAATTCAATGTATATCAAGTGAAGTGCATTTTCTTCTGATTAACTGCAACATCAGATGCCTGAAGAGGAGTTACTTTGTACTTTGCCGATGCAGGTCTTTTCCTAACGGCATTCAATTCTTCAGGCAATTCCAATTTAATGGAGTAACATTTTCTTAAAGCAAAAAATACCACACATGACAGAAATATATCACTAAAGTCTATATATTAACAGTAAGGATACTCCAGCAGCTGCTTATGAATAAGAAATTACAGTGGATGAATTATTCAACCACAAGTATACTTACTCTATGTCATAGCTTGTACTAGAACTTTTGTCAACTATAAAAGAACTGATTTTTATGGATCATTGGTAATTATAAACTACTTGAACTTGATGAACTTAGTTATTTTATGTATAATCACATATAACTTCATTTAAATTATCTTCCACACAGCAAAACAGAGAGCTCTACTTCTTCTGCTTTAACACATTTTCGAGTATATAAAGATGACCTGGAAATACCTTTCTCATTCTTCCCAAGATCTCTAGAAAAAAACATCCAGTAAACCATGTGAAAAAAATTCCAACAGGATGAAAAAAATACCTCGACAGGTGGTTTTTGTCTGTATGAAAAATACAAGAAAGAGAAATCACTTCAGATTAAGTAGAAAACCAGTTTAACGAACATGCCAAAAACCCTACTAAAAAATACTAGACCAGATCAACACAGAAATAAAAATTCCACTGTGGACAGGAAGCTCATTGAAACTAGGGAGGAGTCATAATTTTGACTAATTAGATTATTTGATGAAAAACATTAGTTTAATTGCTATCCACTAATTCCACCCAATTCTAATGAACAGTATTTAAGGTGTACTGCATTTCCCAAAACAGACCAAATAAGTGTCTCTCATATGCAGGTGCTACTCAGAAAACCATAGCTTAAAAAGTGTCAGTAGAAAAAAGTGTCAGTCTTTTAGTGTCAGTAGAAACCACTACAGCTGTAGTGCTTTCCCACCTATTCTTATCACTGAGTTTTACTTAATTCAGGTAATTCCCCCTAATTTAGCTTGACAACCAAAATAATTATAACTAGAATGGGTGTGGGACAGAACATATAGAGAAACAAGTGACTAAGGATGTTTGTAAGACAGCATAATGTGACAACAATCAAATCTCACCTTTTGTATTTATATTTTAACAGAGTCCTAAACTTCTTCTAACTGTGCCATGGGTGACAAAGCAATATAGAAAATACACTCACTTGAGTTCCTCCTATATGGTTCAGATTCTGGGAGGAGGCTTATCAATGTGAACATGATTTGGCCATTATTAAGAAAAGAAAATAGCAAAAAATAACTATGGACCTCATCAGAACAAAATGTAGCATCTCTTTTTGAACTTATTTTCCATCATTCACATACAACAAGTTTTTAAAAAGAAAACAAAAGAGCTACCTGGCTTTATTGCTAGTAGTTGAGAAGAAATAAAGAGAATGGAATTATTTACATCCCTGAAAACAAACACTGCTTTTTTAGGATATATACACATAGGTAAATATGAAATATTATTTTTGCTACAGTACCTCCAACTTGGCACAAATGTCACCTGTCATCTTCTGTCCACATCTTTCTAGTAGTGCAGCCAACTCTTTTAAAGGTTCAAAGAGTTCGTCAGCAGTTGTCTGCCTCTCTTTCATAGCTATGAGATTGCCCATGATTGGTACCAGCATACAGTAATCTCTCTCAGTCACCTCTCTTTGGAGTCCAGTGTCTGTCACTTTTATAAATTCTTCTAATTCAGTTAGATTACCAAAGAGAGACAGGTAGGATGATAGAGAAAACCTTCCTTACTATGGTAAATAAAAATGTAGTAAGTCCTACTTACAATGTTATACAAAATAAAAAGAGTTATTTATAAAATCAAACCAATATAGTTTTACTAAATCGTTTTAAGACTGTCTGGTCTTGATTTTCAGAGGTGGCAAGTGCTACAGTTGACAATTAACCCTACAGGATATGCATGTATAATACCTGGAAAGCAGAAAAAAAACCAACCCAAAAGACTAAAAAAAAACCCACTAAGATAATAAAATTTAAAAAGCTGAAAATCCAGCTCATTGAGGTACTACATGTAAAAAGTCCCCAAGATTATAGTTAGTCCTTTAGTGCATTTAAAGGTGTATGCACCTACACACTCCATTTTACCCAACTGACGAATCTCAGGAGACACTCCTTAACCATCCAGCTCCATTTCTTAATAATGTTTAGCAAGCTTGTTTTGAAAGGCTTTGTATCCACTTTAAACCAACTGTCAGAAATTTTGAGTCCTCAGAGTTACTTATCTGAACAGAAAGGTTTTCACAGGTATGAATTTAGAGAAGAAGAGAGAGAAAAAAAAACATATACTCCTCCATCCCTGCTCCCCATCCCCCACTAAAAACCCAGTTAGTAATACTAGTTGCTTTCTCGTCTGCTCTTTAAAAACTTTAACAGTGTGAGGCTGTTGAGAGACTTTGTCAGTAAGAGGCATCTTTGTGGATGCTAAACCATGACCACAGAGAAGGAGTTACTTCATAAATTCAGACCAGCTCTCCCACCAGAGAGATGCACAGTCAGCAAGGCAATGTTTGGTAACATTGTTAACATTTGCCACTCTATCCATTGTTGCCTGCCTGATTTCAGACAGATCAAACATGCTGTCCATATCATTTTAGGCATCAAACAAAAATTTTGTTATTGCAGTGAGACAGTAATACCAATCAGTACAATTTACATGCAGATGAAAGACTGAACTCCATCCCTTTTCCCCAGAGACCTATTAACAGAAGAACTGTCATTCACTCATCTGTTCCTATTTTGGGTTTATATTACGTTATATGAACATAAATTAACAGAATCCTTTGCAAGTTATTAAAACCTGAACTTTGCATGAATTACATATAATTTTCACTCCCAGTTTAATGGATGCTCCCTTACTTGTCTAAGAGATTAAGTTTCTACTATTTAGACACTTCAGCATGGCCCCAAGGTGGGAGCACAAGAACCAAAAGCTAAATATTCAGCTAATCTCAAATAGCATTAGAATTAGAACCAAGCACTGAAACAGGCTGCCCATGGAAGTTGTAGAGTCACCATCCCTGGAGGTATTTAAAGGGTGTGTAGATGTGGCACTTGGGGGCATGGCTTAGTGGTGGACTTGGCAGTACTGGGTCAGTCCTTGGACTTGATGGTCCTTTCCAAGCTAAATGATCCTACACTTCTCTGTTGGACTTCATGGTCTTAGAGGTCTTTTCCAAACTGAATGATGGTATAAGTCTATGAAAATAACTAAGACTTAAGCTATTAAGATTTATTCGTACCCTAGAACATTATTGTCATTTTTTGAATATGAAGTCAAAGAAAAACATCAGCTACAGATTTAGTTACAATGATAAGTACATACCATTGGATCAAAATTCACAGTCAGGAGGCTGTTTTGAGGATTAGGCTTAATTAGAACTTGGTCTAAATTAAACCAACAAATTTCATCCACCTAAAATTCCATTCACAGCAGGTCTGATCTTTGTATTGTTCAATGGATTTCAATTTCTCCACATATTTCTGTGAAATAAAGGTTTCTGGACTTTCTAAGAATCTGCAAGGAAAAAACCCCACACCTAATCATTTTTTTTATTTTACTGATAGCAACCCATGAACAAATTCTTGTGAAAAGTTTTAGTTGCCCACATTTTTTCATTTTTAGATGAAGTTCTGTGTATGCTGTCTATTTTTAAGCTATCCATAGCTTTACTGAGTTGAACCAGAGTGGAAAAGATGCATAAAACAAGAAGTGAGAACACTGGACACAATTAAAACTTGGGGGGAAAAGACGGCCATGTCCCCCTTGCATGTTATGAGCTATGTCAGTTTTCAATGGTTGGAACCGTTATTACTTGATAATTTAATTCATGTGTGTCTAAAGCTCTCACAGGAACTTCCATCCTTTGTTCTCCCACCTAAAAGCATGTTTGCTGAAGGATCGTGACAAGAGAAAGGGACGGGGCATAATTTTCAAATAATTTGGATGTATCTTTGAAGGTCTTGACCCTATAGAGCAATAACACTGTTTATGTACTTCTGTGTGAAGTAGGACCAAAATGCTTGTATTCATTCCTCCAGTTCTTTTTAGGCTGGACCTTTTAAGGCTTCCCATAGTAACTGGCATATTTTTGTTAATTATTCAATTCTCTCCCCACACTTATTGGACTAGAAATTAAGCCATTATGAACCTACAAGAAAATAATGTTTTGGTTTTGCACTGTTCAATACCTTTTTAATGTGTTCATCATGTACACATCTGCAGTTATGCACTTCTTCACCAAATATTTTCAATGAAATACTGCAATTTGGGCTAAACATCTCCAAAATGAAGCTTTTTTTAGAAAGCTTCCAAAATGTTATAAGCTTGAGAAGAAAATAAAGAGAAAAACCGCCAAACAGCAAAGTAAGCATTACAGTTCTCTTTCTGTAATACTCTCGACTTGAAATTTCATCCAGAATGTTTCTGAAGTGCAAGGACTGGAACCATGCCAAGCTATACTTGTTGGCATGTGTCGTGTTAATCAACAGACCACATATTTTAAAATATGCTTTTAAATTGTGCACAACAGATGAATTCTAGAATGCTTAAGAATGACAGATTAGCTCAGATCCTAGGAATTATGGAACTAGGCTTTCCAGATCCAGGCATATACTCCACACTCTGGATACTTTTGAAATCACAGAATACTTTGAGTTGGAAGGGACCCATAAAGATCATCAAGTCCAACTCTCATGTGAAATCCTACCCTGCATTTTTCTACCTTTTGTGTTTTCTCACTTCTTTTTCAGATATATGCTCTCTCATAAGTCACTAGCTTCTTCCCCTTAAGTCTCATGCAAATTCAAAGTCTTAATTGTAAGTTAATGTTTTCTGGAGAAAAAAAAAAAGCCTACTGCTGTAAAAGATTACAAAAACAGTGGCAAGTAGAAATGATTTCTCTAAGGATAAGTTGCCTTCCATTCTCACTGTCATGTTTAAAGTTAAGATAAGCTGTCTGCCTTTTGAAAGAGTAGATGCAATCAATGAGAAAATAAGTTTGGAAAGAAACAGGGTAAACATTAAATGCAAGACACTCATGTGATTGCTAACAATGCCAAAAGTGGCAACCTAAGGAAAATTAATTTACACAAAATTAGTAGTTAAATATTCATTATTACTGCCACAACTAATTTACAACACTTTACCACAGTTTGAGTGTGATGTATACACTGTCTTAAAAATGTATGTCTAAAAGGGAATTCAAGTGTAATTATTTCACCTCCCTGCTCCAAGATGAGGCTTGCTATACCTATGTCATTTGCAAAAGAGGTTTTCCTATCCCTCCCTGAAAGATTTTCCAGTAATGAAGTGCCTGTCACCCCTTAGAAATCTGTTCCAGCAATTCATTATGTTTGGCATAAAGTGGTTTTTCCAGTCACCAGACTTGAACTTTATGCACTTTAAATTAAGTTCATTATGTTCTGGATGTAGAGAATAGACTATTTCTTTCCTATATGCAGAAATCTTTCACTTATTTTGAAGATTTATGCCTGTTCTCTCTTTTCCTCTTCAACCCAAATGACTATCAACAGATCCTCTTTCCTGAAGTGAAATGTTTATACCTGAGCACAATAGTCCACCAGAGGCCTCATCAAGGGTGATTGAAATGTGAGATTTCTCCTTGTGCTTTTCAGGACAACCACCCATTTGAATATTTCTGTACTTACCTCTTTCTTAATAACATGACTTCACTTACTCATGGTCTACATATGACAACTCCTAAACCATATTTTGAAGAACTGTTTTTAATAAGTTATTTCCAATCTTACATTTTAATTATTCTTGTTTCAGAATAAAACATACTACTGCACAAAAACGCTTCAACTACCCAGGTTAACTCTATGCTACACTGGATGAGAGCCTGGACACATCTGTCATCCATGGGTTCTCTGTGCCTCATGCAGACAAGTGCAAAATACAGAATGTTAGTGAGTTGAAAATCTTTGTTTCTTTGAATTACGTTTTAGATCTGGCCTCAGCTATGGGTTAACTTCTGGAAAGAACCTGTATTCAGATCATCATTAAAGTGAGCACAGAATCATAGAACAGTTTGATTCCCAGCTGAAATAGTGTTATTCAGTATCATCCTCTCCAAACTCCTATAATGTTAGGAAAAAAAAGGCAAAAAAAACCCCAAACATAAACAAACAAACAAACAAACAAAAAACCCCACAAAACCCCAAACCAAACCAAAAAACCAAACCACCAAACCACCATACTCTTTCCTATGGGAGGAAAATCTAATGGGAGGCATGTGTTAGTCCTAAACACTTGGCTCACCTCTGTCCCTGAACAAACTTCTGAGATTTTTCAGTACTATTTTTACCAATGATCAATGATTAATATTATTAAAAGTGATACTTGGCTTTTATTCTTTTTTACAGAAATCAAGTTAGGAACTGAAGTGTTTGCTTAGCACTTTGTTTAGGAAGATTAGTAAGAGGGACATATTGCATCTATATTGCTCCTTACTTTTATGTTGTTTCATCCTATTAAATCTCCTGTGAAATAAAGAACTTCTCAACAAGTTTTTAGAAGCCTAAATTATCTCTGTGTACTATCATTAAGCAGGTTATTATAAGCGTAAAACTTCAC